CAGCGCGCCGTGGTGAATGCCACGATGGATGGCCGCGACTGCATTGCGGTGATGCCTACGGGCGGCGGAAAAAGTCTGTGCTACCAGGTGCCGGCGCTGGTGCGCAATGGCGGGCTGACCCTGGTGGTGTCGCCGCTGATTGCCCTGATGGATGACCAGGTCATGCAGCTACGCGCCCTGGGCGTTGAGGCTGAGGCATACACGTCCGAGTCGCGCAACGCTGTCGAGGTGCGCGCCAAGCTGCGCGCAGTGGCCGAAGCGGGCGAGGCAGGGGGCCACAAGGGCCACAAGGGCCACAAGAGCCACAAGAGCCACAAGAGCCACAGTGGCCACAACGACCACAACGACCACAACGACCACAACGACCACAACGGCCACAACGACCACAACGGCCACAACGACCACAACGGCCACAACGACCACAACGGCCACAACAACCACAAGAGACTCAAGCCCGAGCCCGGCCCGCTGGCGCTGCTGTTCGTGGCGCCCGAGAAGCTGGTGGGCAGCAAGCAGTTCCTTGCGCTTCTATCGCGCGTCTATGCAGCCGGGCGGCTCGCACGCATCGCCATCGACGAGTGCCACTGCGCCAGCGAGTACGGCAGCGACTTCCGCCCAGACTACGGGCGGCTTGGGCTGCTGCGCACCGCCTTCCCGCGCACCCCCCTGCTGGCACTATCGGCCACATGCCCGCCGCGCGTCCTCGCCAGCGTCCAGCGCATCCTCGGCACATCCGCGCTGGTCTTCACAGCGCCACTGTGGCGCACTAACCTGCGCTTCTCTGTCGAACCCAAGACCGGTGCGCTTTTTGCGCAGGCCGCCGCCTGGGTTGCCGCGCGCCCGCCCGCCTGCTGCGGCATCGTCTACTGCGCGACACGCGCGGACGCGCACGACACGGCCGATGCGCTGCTGGCCAATGGCATTCCCTGCGACGTGTACTACGGCGCGCTGGACCGCACGCACAAGCGCGCACTGCACGAGGCGTGGCGCGCCGGGCGGCTGCGCGTCGTTGTGGCCACCAACGCCTTCGGCATGGGCATCGACATGCCCGACGTGGCCTTCGTTCTACACGTGACCGCGCCCAAGACGCTGGAGGCGTATTACCAGGAGGCTGGCCGTGCCGGGCGCGACGGCCGCGTGGCCGAGTGTGCGTTGATGTATGGCGGGCTGGATGCCGCGCGGCTGGCTGCCTGGGGCTTTGACGCGCTGGGTGCCGAGGGCGTAGGCCGTGCGCGCGCCGTCATCGCGTATGCTGAGGGCCGCCGGGGGTGCCGCAAAGCCACGCTGCTCAATGCGCTGGGCTCCGAAGAGGACCTGGGCGCATGCATGGTTTGCGATAACTGCTGCCGGCGCACAGTCGCTGTTGACTGCTCCGCGGTGGCGCTCAGCCTGGTGAATGCCGCGGCTGTGGAGGAGCGAATGACGCTGGCGCGGCTGATCAAGTATGTGCGCGGGGTTGAGAAGATGCCGGCAAAGGTGGCTGCGCTGGTGGCTGGTGGTTGCATTGTGGGTGTGCCGGAGATGTCCGTGTGCCGGGTGGCCAGTGTTGTGCAGGAGCTTGTTGCCAGGCGCGTGCTGAGAGAAACCTTCGCTCAGAGTGCCTTCACTACCAATGCCTACTTGGAGGTGGCCCCTGAGTTTGCTGCTGTTGTTGGCTGCGCTGATGTTGAGAACGCGCGGCTGCTTGGCCTGGAGCCCGTCGTGCTGTACTTTGATGCTGAGGACGCGCCTTGATTTTTCTTTGGTTTTGCTTTGACTCTAGCTTTGCTTTGACTTTGACTCTGGCTTTGCCTTTGCCTTTGCCTTGGCCTTGGCCTTTGCCTTTGCCTTTGATCAAGTTACTTGATTTAATGCAATCCAGGGACAATATATGGATATGACCTGTAAAAAAAACAGGGTAAGGCCTTTCTTTGCGCCTCGCCTCCTCAATCTTCACACTTTTTAATTTTCTACTTTTTTCCCACTATTTTCATGTGATGGGGCCAAATGAGACGTTCCTGAAACCTGGGTTTGAACGCCCGCTTACTCTCTGCACACGTCAAAAAAATTAGAACACCAATATCACTTTCTCCCCTTTGTAACAAATAACTATTTTTATTTCTCTTAATTTGTTCTTTTTGTTTTAAAATTATAGACTTGTTAATTCACTTTTTTATTTTAAAGTTTTTGCACAAAAATGTCATTCACTGCTTTTCTCTACATTCTCGCGCTAATCTTTGCCGGCGCTCTGCTTTTCGGCGCCGTGTACTTTGTCATTATGCTTACCGATCTCGAATGCGACTACATCAATCCAATCGACCTGGCCAACAACCTCAACATGGTAAGAACAGAACAACATAAATGCTCAACTCACCTATCCAATACCTTTTTTGTACTTCCAACTAATTCACTTTATGACCAATTTTCTTTCTTTTTTTTACCGTTAGTACGTCATGCCCGAAATGGTCGCTCAGCTGGTTTTGTTCGTTACGTTTTTGCTTCTGGGCGAATGGACATCGATGCTCATTAACCTACCGTTGGTCGCTTGGAATATTCGCAAGGTCATGAGCTCGCGCCAGTTCTACGATGCCACTGAGGTTTTCCGCACTTTGCCCAAGCACAAAAGGGAGAACTTTTGCAAGGTTGGATTTTACCTTGTATGCTTCTTCTACTACTTGTACAGTATGATCGTCACTCTGGTCAACGAGACTACTACTGAACATTCTCAGGCTGCGTATTAAATAAAAAATTTGATCATCCCATTTCATTAAATTCTTTTTTTTTCTCTCGCGTTTTCTGATTTTGCTTCTCTTTTTGCTCCTTTATTTATTGTTTTGGTTTTCTTCTTCAATTCATTTTTATTCTCTAATTTATACAACACCAACTTGAAAAAGTAAAGAAAAAGAAAAAATAATAAACAATGGATGTGGACGCCGATGCATACAACGAAGATTACAGCGATGCAGCTGTTGCCGAGGAGATAGCCAAGTACCGCAACATCGTCTTGTCAGCATGCTCGTCCCTTGGCAACCTCCAGCCCAACACAGATGAATCCGCAGCCACCAATGCAAAAATGGTCTACGTGCCAGCCAAAGACTGCCTCGCCTCACTAAAGGACATCAAACGGTACATCCAGATGGACGAACAGGGCGACGGCAAACTCGTCCTGCAGTGGCTGGGCGAATGGCAAGTGCTCGAGCGCGACATCATCCCTATATTCACCATCACCGCCAACCACATATTACCCGAGCAAACAGCATCCGACACAGACGCCTTGAAAACTGTCATGATGTGCGTCGAGCTTTTCGTGTTTCTCACCTGGAGTATGGAGTCCGAGTCGGATGAAGTCAAGATGCGTTTTATCCGCGTTCTGCGATCATACAAAAGAGCATTTGCCAAGCCCGAGGTCATCAAATGTTTGCTCGCTGTGGCCGTCCGGTTTGTCAGGCAGAAGAGCTCTGCCGCTGGTGATGGGAGGGAGGATATGCTGGTGAAGGGGATTCTGTACGTGTTCCGAAATGTCCTGGCTATACCCGACCCCCTGGTGTCCCCGTCGTCCGGCAGCTTGGCCGCCCAGGTCGAAACCCACGACACGCTGATTGGCGTATTGGAGGACCAGCTGGCTGCTGATTTCTTCCTCACCCTGATCTCGTCGTCCGCCGACCAGCCACGGCTAAAAGATCTCCGGCCCACGCTGCTGGACATCGTGTACTACCTGTTCTACCGCGTCCCCGTCTCCGCACTCTTTGACCAGCCGCACCACACGTGGTTTGACGGCCCCGAAAATAACAGCAAGGCGCATAATAAGTCCAGTCGGCATAACAACTTTGGCGGAGTCTACGCAGTCTCCACAGGAGAGGGAACCATCATGCCAGTGTTTAGCACGCGCGAAGTCCTGCGGCCCTTTGCCAACTTGTTCAAGAGGCGTGCCAAAGTCGATAAACCCAAGGATGCTCCAGACACGCTATCGGTGGATCTGCAATGGAGGATTGTGGATCCCTCTAGTATCACCACCCTGCGCCGCATCGCCGCCGTATTTATCGAGAGCTGCTTCAACCCATTTATTCTGGCACTCTTTGAAGACTTGCGGATGAACGGTACTGTAGTGGATGGGTTCACCCCACGGCTGATGTACGTTTCAGCGTACTTTGTCGACATATCCTTGGCCAACCCCGCGATTGACCTCGGAAGCACTTGCGCATTGGTGCAAACCCATGTGTTTGGCCAAGTGATGCGCTGTGCCAGCGCATACGTCGAGCTCAAGCATTGGACCGGGCTGGAGCCCGCCATGTACTGTTTGCAGCAAACCCTCCTGTCGCTCAGCAAGATGCGCGGCGCCAAGCTCGATTCCTTGGCAGACAACATATTGAGCAATCTGTTCTATGATGGAGACGCCCTGGATTTGTTCGTCATGCTGTGTCGCGTTTATAAGCCGAGGAAGAACACACGCGCGTTTTTGGAGCAGGTCGCTAGGTTGACAGAGACCTTCTTGGACACGCTGCGGGACTACGCGCAGACAAAGGCCGGTATGGTTGTCAGGACCAAGGTGAAGCGGCGAGTGCCCAAGTCGCAGTCCACGATGGATGCCGGCATGGATATGGACCTTGGGGTTGAGGCTGAGGAAATGGACGATGAGGATATTGGTGACGAGTCCAAGTTGGTCACACAGATGGAGGAGGTACTAGTTGAGCGGGAATTCAACATTAGCAGGTACGAGGCGGCCTTTGCTGTCGCCGATGTGGTCAAATCCTACAGTCACCTTCTGTCCCCGCCCTCAGCCATCGAACACGTCTTCCCCATGCTCCGCCGTATTGCCATCACGCACCAGCGGCCACACTTATTTTTCAAAAAACCCATTATGCAAAGGCTCCTGACGCTCTTCGATGACCAGCTCACTTATCCGAATCGCTCAGAGATGATTGATTTGGCGGCGTGGATTTTCCGTCAATACATGGTTGTTCTGGATAGTCCCTCGTTGATGGCCCATTATAAGGCTGAGCCGTTGGATAATCGCATGGCTATGGAGTGCGTCATGACTTTTTTGAAGCAGTCATCGGCGGGTAAGGCTGTGGAGCCGGTCATTACGCGGAATCTGATTGAGCTGCGCGCATCGACGCCAGAAACCAAGCCGGAGACAAAGCCAGAGAACAGGCTGGAGGAGTGGGACGAGGAAGAAGAGTACCTTGCCCATGCATCATCCGCTCTTCCTCTCGGCTCCACCGCCACTTCCATGGCAGGCGCTATTGCAGAAATAAACGAAGACGATTTGGATTTCTACGGTGGCCACGGAGATGATTTCGATTTTGATTTCGACAATATGCTAAACTAGATTTTATTAATTCTAATAAAATAACTCCTCCCACTCCTCGCTAAACTTCTCCTTATCCTCGACCAAAAGTGATTTTCCCAGCTTTGTCTCATTCGCAAATGACGTCTGTGTGCTCGCATACAGCATGAGCTTCTGTGGCGGTGCCGTTTCGGGGCAATAATAGATAAATACCAATGGGTAGGACACCCGGCCATCCTCGTGCTCCTTACGGTAGCTCACTACAATGTACCGCGGCTCATTGTCTGGCAGCTCATCGATCAGCGTGGGAAAATCCGTGACGTCGTCTAGCTGGTCTTCAACTACCGTCTGTGTTGCATCGATTTTCGCAACGTATGCGTGGAATGGCTTGCTGGTGATGGTCGTTTTGATGAACCGCAGCGCATTGACGCCCGAGATTACTTGTTCAGAAATTGAGCAAGTGACAGAAGACATTCTAGTATTGAACGATGAGAAATTAGAATTGATTAAAATAAATTGAAAATAAAGAAAAGAAGCAGAACAATGATTGGAAAAAATCTGGTCTGATGTTTCACAGTTCCTTAGGCCACGCTTTAACGTCATCTCTTGCATGAGTGTTTTTGGAAAATACACACGTGTATAATTCATTGTCACCATACTATAAGATTATACAAACAAATGCCTATTAATCAAGGATTAATTTTTTTTTGCGAAATTCCTGCATTATTTTATTGAATACAAAAAAATCAATAGTGCTCTTAAACCAAAGAAATAATATTTTGTATTTACACTGCAAAACCATGCCGAGGGAATCCAGCAGACGCTCGCGGTCACCTGACAGACACAGCAGAAGATCATACCGTTCGCGCTCACCATCCCGACGCCGCTCACCCACACGCTCCACCAACCACCACCAACAACAACGCTCCAATCGCCCCAGCACCCGGACCACTACTACGGACAATCGTTCGCCATTGCCAGCACCCAGATACAGGTCGCGCGAAAGGCCCAGTCACCGCCAAACCTACGAACCGAGATCTCCACCCAGTCGACGCGATACTAGGAGACGGTCGAAATCTCCAGAAACACACAGACCGTCGGTCCGCGATAGCAGGTCAAAATCGCCCGAACGCCAGATGGCCCCAAAGCTGGAGGAGGAGGTGGGTATTAGTGAAGAGGCGTTATTGGAAATGACGGAGGAGGAGCAGATGAACGCATTGTTGGGCTTTGGTGGGTTTGATACTACAAAGGGGAAGAAGGTGTCAGGGAATGATATTGGAGCCGCTAATGTGAAGAAACAGAGAAAGTTTAGACAGTATATGAACCGTAAAGGTGGGTTTAATAGACTTTTGGATAAGCAATAGATGGGTAAATTGTTATGCATATTAATAAATACATGGCGATATAGTGATGAAAACCGAGGGTACAGAAATGTTTATACTGTTGAGTTGTTGGAACGCAAAGTTTTTTAATTCAATTTTTAAAAATAAAATCAAATAAATTCACCAAATATTATTTGAATTGATCTTTAGTCAACGGTCAATATCGATTGCAGTAATGCAAACAGCTGTTGGCTGGAAAAATGATTCTACTACGTCACAGCGAGCATCAAGCCACTGGAATTACGCATGAGCAACAAAGTTACTAGGCTGTATAAACTAAAGAAATAAAATATCTGACTGGTCTTGAGAACCGTAGCTCGAATATCAAAACATACATGGCTGTAACAGGCATTACATATGTCATGCCGTAACGGGATTCATCATGGACGCATAATCGAATCCAAGAAATAAAAATAAAAATTAATGTGATAGGAATTTGAAAATAGTGAGATTTATGCAATATGATAAATGAGAATATATGATAATTAAACCGAAAGTTATAGGTTTACTTTAACAAGGTTTTCTCCTTTTTCATTGCAACCGTTCATTTGAGCTTCTTTATACTATTGTAAGCGTGACCAAGGAGGTACCAATAATCAACTGAGCAGTCACAGGGAATACTGTTAGAAAGGTAAATAAAGGTATATTGAAAAACTGAGGTGTTCTCGTCCTCATGGCAGGAACACCTCAGTATATAACAGAAGCAAACTATGGAAAGTGCGCGGCATCTCCAGTGCCGCTCACATGTAAACAACTAGCAAAACAAATGCTATCTTGATACGCCTCAAAAGTGCGCCAATATCTGCTGTTTTCATTATCTGGATAAAAATAGGTTCAATCATAAATACCACGCGGCCTCGCAATTGATGTGATTGAATCGGGGCATCGGCCGAACTCCCACATCTGTCTCAATGAATCTATGCGCGCCGACGGGTTTCAACCCGGGTCACTAGCCCGGATTGCAAGCCCCCCGTAGGGTTTACAATAATAATTTTTTTTATAATTTGGCTCTTTTTATCGCATATAAACTTAAAAAGTGCCAATTATGTGTGGATGGATGCGAGAAATACACAAATATTCAAAGTTTGCTTTTTTTATCAAATCCTTTGGCAGCAAGTACGCAAGTGAGGGAAAGGATGTGTGCACAGAGGATTGGCTTTTGTTGCAAAAATTTAATACTGGCCAGACAAATAAATATTGTGGTTTGAGCATATCCTTCATCTCATTCTTTCCACTTTTTTATTTTATTACAACTTAATACATTATAGTTTAACTGTTATATTTATATTGGTTATCTCTTATAATTCTTTGTTTCGTGTCAAAATGTCTAAAAGCTTGAAAATATCAATTGCCATCTGCAAATCTAAGCTTAATGGTAAGAGTAATGCATATAATGGGCTATGGAAAGTTTCAATAGACATGCCATTTCCCGATTTTCTTAAAAAAAATATGATTAAACATTGCGAAGATGTCAATTTAAAATATGCTTTGGGTTATATAATTAGTGGAAAGCCAACAGGACAGCCCGCATTATCTCTATCGTCTCAAAAACACATTACTGTCGACGAGGTTTTTCGTTGTTCTGATGCAGTCAAGAAAAATGAATGCTACAACGTCAGCCTCTTCGAACTTGGTCAGTACACTTCGCGTTTTCTCGTTACTGGGCCTAAATTTGCGACGAAAGTATATTTTTTCGGACTCCACAATGAATATACACATGATATGGTGGTTGACGTTCTACATGCAGTGTTTGGCTATAATTATATATGATCGATCTAACTTTGGGCTGTACAACATTACAAAGGATTTTGTTCGGTTGTTCCTGGAGAAGGAAAGTAATTTAAAATATGGAAAGGTGCAAATGTTGTAACAACTGATTTACTGTGCACAATTTTGGTTAACAAAGTGCTTGCAAAAGATTTGGTAGAAAAATGACAGAGAAGATGGACCCATTGATCGAGTTACAAAATGTTTAAAAAAGTAAAAAGTAGTTTTTTTTAAAATAAATAAATCGTGCTCGATGACGAGAGAAATATTATTGTACAAAAACTGATGTGGTGGGTTAAATCTGGCGTGTTGCAGTATCCTGGCATTGCTTCTATTTTGGCGCATGGAACCAGCCGTCTACTTTAGCCGAGACTGTTACATAAATATGTGTATTGTAATTAATACGATATATTAAATAAAATAGGCATTGATTAATCGCGCTCCTCAATGAGCTGGCTGATAAAGTCAAGCGCCATGGCAATGGCCGCACGCTCGCCGGCCACGGTGACCCAGTGCGAGCTGTTGCCCTTGCGAGGTACCGTCACCACGCAGCCAGTCATATCGCGGATCTTTGCGATATTCGCACCTTGCTTGCCAATAATATGGCGATGGCTCCGGGGATCGACGCTCACCCGCGCCTCCACGCCACCCTCGCCGCCCACATGCTTCTGGACAACAGCAATCGCGTCGGCCAGCTTGCTCTTCTCACCGCGCAGAATCCAGTCGGCGGTAAGACCCGAAAGCTCAGAATCAATGTCGCGGTACACAACGGTGCCCGGAGCAGCATTCTCGGGGTCAGTAACAGTGGCGGACTGATCAACGCGACGGACCGGTGCTTTGTCGACACGCGTGGCATCAACCTGGACGTCATAATCGGACCGGACCTGGCGCCAAAGCGAGCCCTGGCGCCCACCCAGACGCTGGTGCAAAGCCAAAGGCACGGTAATTGTGGACTCCTCGCGGACAAGCTTCAGCAGTGCGACCTTGCACGCCTCGCAGTTTTCGGGTAAGCCAGTGATGCGCACGTCGGCAGAGTTTTCGGTCTCAGCGACGGCAGCAGCAGTGGCAGTGGGCGCGTTGCGGTTGGCGGCGCGCGGGAAGAAGATCTCCACCGAATGGGCCTCCTGCATCTGCTTGAGGTTGGCACCGCCGCGACCAATAACAAATGCGTGTTGAGAGACGGGGACGGGAACGAGGATAGTGACCATTCTCTCGCGCTCCTCAACCAGCTGCTCAATGCGCGCGCGCACAGCATCAACGATCGCGCGGTCACCCTTCAGCTTGACCTCGCCAGTGCTCTCGGACGAGGCACGCGGGAACTGCACGCGACAGGCGCCGGTACCGGTCATCAGGTCGGGGTCGCCACCAGCCTGCTGCACCAGTTCGCGCACACGGCCGCCACCAGCTCCAATGAGGAAACGGTGGTGCTTGGTGGGAACCTCGATGGTGATGTCCACCTGCGACTCCTGCTCAAGCACAGTCGCCTCGATGGCCTCGCGGGCGAGCTTGGTGCCTGCGCGCGTACCAATCAGGGTCACCTCGACCTCGCCATCAGTGGGCTCCCCCAGATCAATGCGTGTCTCGCTCTCATCCTTGATCTCGTTGATGTGCGAGCCGGCGCGACCGACAATGTGCGGGAGAGCGGCTGCGGGTACCTTGAACTTTACCGTGTGGTTGTGCTCAAGCTCGTAGGCAGCCAGCTCCAGCAGCTCGGCCTTGGAACCCTCAACGCCCTTGCGCCCACCGCGGATGCGAATCTGGTCAGCCGCCAGTGGCGCACCGCTGTCCTCATCGTCGTGCTTGTCGCTGCGCGACCGCGACGAGGGGAACTTAATCTGCACAGCGTACTTCTCCTCCAGGCGCTTGACAAACCGGCCGCCGGTACCGATCAAAGAACGATGGATGTTTCCCGCCACGCTGACAATCTCGGACGTCTGGTCAGCCATCCTCTCGGCAAACTCGAGAATCTCGCTGCGTACTGCATTGACATCAGTCTCAGTACCCTGTATCTTGACCGAGCCAGTGGCGCCGCCCGTGCTGTCAGAGACGTCAATGGTGACGTTGTGCTCGGTCTGCATGCGCTTGAGGTTCTCACCACCGCGGCCAATGACGCGGGCCAGCAGGACCTGTGGCACAGTCACCTCCGAGCGGAACGAGTGCAGCTTCTCGTACTCTGTTGCAGCGTCGACACGGCGGCAGATCTCGGCAATAACACGGTCAGCAGCAGTAGCCAAGCCCTTGACCTCGACCTCGTCGGGTTGCAGCTGCGCTTCGTGCTTCTTGCGCTCAAAACGCGTGTTTTCGGGCTCGGCCGCCGATGGTGCCACCGAGCCAAAGCGAACAACAACGCGGCCGACACCATCTCCGGTGGCCTTGGCGTTCTCCATGATGGACTTTAGGGCGGCGGGCTCGGCCAGCACAGCCTGCAGCTTGACCGGCACAGCAGCCACCTTGGTGACATAGGTGTCGTCGCTTTGCACAGTGGTCCGGAACTCCTCCAGGGTCTTGCGCAGCAGGTCGCGGGTGGCGCGCTCGCGCTCGGCTGGGTTAGTGATGCGGTCGACGTCAGGGTTGAAGCCCTCATATACGACCAAGATAGCTGACGATGCAGAGTCGCGCGGGAACAGCGTATACACACAGCGGACAGAGTGCAGACGCGTCAGATTGGACCCATCGGGGCCTGCCAGCAGAGCGTGCAGATGGGGCTCGACATCCATGCCGTTGAAATGGTACGGCGGGAATGCCTGCAGCAGCGCAATCAGCGCCTGGCTGGCAGCCGCCACTGCATGGGCGTCCTTGCCCTGCACCTCGATCTGCACCTGAGCAGGGGATGTGGCCGCCTGGGCCTGGACGTTCGAGGGCACGCGCAGCTGCACGCCGTGCTCGCTCTCGATGCGCAGGAAGCGGTTGCGCTCGCTCAGGTACTGCAGCACACGCTGAGCGTAGAGCAGGGGCCTGGGGTACGAGTGGATGGTTGTCGGGTCGACAACCTGCACAACCACGGAATTGGCCTTGGTCATCACCAGGCCCAGCGCCTGCACCAGGTTGGATTCGGGACCGCGTACGGTGACCTGGTCTGAGGGGTTGCGTGGCGCAGGCACGCTGATGCTGCATCCAGTGGCCTCGATAATATCGCGCAGTGTGGAGCCGCCATCACCGACAATGAAGCGGTGCTGGCGCTTTGGAATGCTGACTGTGACAGTCTGCGAGCCCTGCATCAACAGGCGAGCGGTCTCGGTGATCTCGGCCACAGCCGCTTGAACGGCATCACGCTCGCCCAGCACGCCAATGGCCTGATCGACATCAATTGGGCCGGGGATGCGGATTTGCACGCCGGGGTGAGCGGCCTGCAGAGCCTTAAGGGTATCGCCACCCTTGCCAACCAGCATAGCGTTAGCCTCACGCGGCAGCTCCGCCAGCTTGACAGCCCGCTTCGTTGTGCGCTTGTCTACAATAGCCTCAATCTGAGCCACGGCTGCGGCAACGCCCATATGGCTACCTGTGATGCTGACATCTATCTGCTCAAACAGGTCCGCGCTGCCGCTGTCGTTGTACTTACCCAGCGTCACCGAAGTACCGGTCTGTGTCTGGATGCCCGCAAGGGTTTTTCCGCGGACGCCGACAATCTGGGCGCGTGCCATGGCGGGCACCTGCACAACCTTGGTAATGCGCGGGGAGAGCTTGGTGCAGATTTCGCGCTTAGCGCGCGCCACAGCATCGGGCTTACCGCTGATCAAGTACGTCGAGGTGTTGAGCACGCGGTTGTGTGAGATCTCGATACGCGTCTTGGTGGTCTCCATGATCTTGCGCGCGACATCGCCCACGGGGTCCTGCATCATCGGCAAGTCAACAACCTCGGTGGCCTGGTTCTGCTTCAGCTGGTATGCCATCGACTGGGCGCTGGCGGCACTGGCCGAGGACTTGGCACCCCACGACACAGATGTGGTTGCTGTGGCTGGGCTGCCAAGCGAGGGGAAGAGCTCCTCGTCGGCCAGATCAATGGGCTTGCGCGGTGCCTTGGTGACAACCTTCGGGGCCTCGTTGATATCGGTGTCATCATGGTCACCAGAGGTGCTGGCAACAGCAGAGTCCACTGCGGTGGCGTTTTCGAAAGCAGCAGCAGCTGATACGTGGCCATCATCCACGAAAACGTTCGAAATAGCAGTAGGTGCAGTAAAATCGGCGACATTAGCACTGATAAACATGTTGGTAATGGCGGCGGGCTCCGCAACATCGCCTTCGGTGATAACAGCGCCGGCAATATCGGGCGATGAGTGCTCAGTGGCTTCGTCGTTGGAAACGGCATCATCCTGGGCAGGGACACCATCAAGAGCAGCAGAATTATCGATACCAATGGCAGAAGCAGTAGCGGGCCATGCGCTGACCGTGTCGGGAACAACAACGGGAAGGGCAGAGGCATCGTCTTCATCAGTGGCGTTGTCGGCGGCTTCGACAGCAGCAGGCACGGCAGACACAAACAGAGACTGAGCCTCAGCCTCCGCCTGAGCTGCCTGAGCGGCAGCGGCGGCGAATTGGGCAGCGGGAGAGAGTTCGTCAGACATTGTTACAAATTAGATGATGGACCGTTATTGAAATTCGGACGTTTCGTTGGGAATGGAGGGTGAGTTTGACCGACACGCAAAGGGGGGATCCTGGGTTTATAAACAGAGAACTGTGGTATTAAAAAATGTAAATGGGTTGGAATAGTTTGGGGAAACGACAGAGAAGGAAAGCACGAGCAGCCTGGATATTGGGATGAACGGCGCAAGAACTGGCGTGCCAAAAATTCACAATGGCAGGACAACAAATTTAATCGCAACCCAGAGGGCGGAGACGATCAGCGGAGCAGTATGCAAAAAACTGGCCAATAAGATGCGCACAACCGAAACGAGACGATGTGAATCCGGCAAGCCCTAAATCGGAGGCAGTAAAAGGCTCACAAAACAGCTGCAAAACAAGTACAATACTCCTATCTACGTTGAGAACAGACGCTACGGCGCAAGCACTAATGGCCAAACTAGCAAAGATATTGGATATACATTAAATCGCGTGCATGGTTATATCGATTAAGTTTGGAGATTTGAACAGAACCAAGGATATCCTTACGATTTCATCAAGATGCTTGACAATGCAAATATGCGAGCAAACAGAATGTGATTTTAAGTTCTTTTATATTACAGAGTGAAGAAAAAAATTAGAGCTCCTGGGAGGGGTTGGCCTTCTTGGACTTCTGGGGCAAGAGAGTGGCGTGGATGTTGGGCAGGACACCACCCTGGGCAATGGTGACGTTGCCGAGCAGCTTGTTGAGCTCCTCGTCGTTGCGGATGGCGAGCTGCAGGTGACGGGGGATGATACGAGTCTTCTTGTTGTCGCGGGCAGCGTTACCGGCCAGCTCGAGGATCTCGGCGGTCAGGTACTCGAGGACGGCGGCCAGGTAGACGGGGGCACCGGCGGCAATGCGCTGGGCGTAGTTGCCGCGACGCAGGTGACGGTGGATACGGCCGACAGGGAACTGGATGCCAGCCTTGCTCGAGCGCGACTTGGGTCCGGCCGAAGCGGAGATACCGGCCTTGCCAGATGCGGATTTGCCACCAGCCATTGTGATTAAAGGTGAGTGTTGTGAGGGGGAGGGTGGTTGTGTGTTGTGGTTGTGTGTTTGCTCGAGAGCGAAAGGAGACTGAAGAAAAAAGCGTGGAATGAAAATGTGTATTGGTAAAGCACAAGAAAAAAAACCAGCAAAAATGAGATGGCGGCACTTGCCGGCTGTTTATATATGAGCAAGGGCGGTTGGTTGATAGAAAATGCAGAGACGCGTTCGTGCTGGAATATCGAGAAATGCAAAATTTCAAAACCCCAAATCGAATCGAGCAAGCACAAAGCGTAAAGCGTGCCTTTTGGGGGCTAATCAAGCGGGTGCATTCTCCTGCCAAGACGAAAAATACGAAATTGCAACGGCGCGCTGCAAAAAAATAATTGGACGCCTGTGATTGGCTGCCGTGCCTTTTTTCGCGTGCCGAAAATCGAAGTGTGTACTGAGTGCTCGATTTTTCAAAAATCGACAACCACAGCTGCTCCTCGATTTCAGCCAATCAGCGTCGGCCAGTTTATTTCTGACTTTTTTCGTCTTGCATTTTTGGATCTTGCGTCTCGCGTCTGGTGCCGTGCGGCTATTCTTGGCCCGTATCTGCGTAGTTTTTTGCATCTTTCGCGTGAGCTGGAGCCAGAGCGTCTGGCTGCGTGCCTCCGAGCACAGGCGCCGGCTGTTGTCTTTGCTGGTGCTGGTGCTGGTGCTGGTGCTGGTGCTGGTGCTGGTGCTGGTGCTGGTGCTGGTGCTGGTGCTGGTGCTGGTGCTGGTGCTGGTGCTGGTGCTGGTGCTGATGCTGGCACTGCCACTGCCACTGCCACTGCCACTGCCACTGCCACTGCCACTGGTACTGGTGCCTGTCTTTTTTCCACGCAAAGAACACTTTGGTTCAGCCTGGCTCGAAACAGAACCAAGACAATAGCACTGCTGGCCTTAATGCCTGCTGCTGCCAATGCTGATAAGGCGTCGCAGAAAGCTTTGGACTCTTGGGCTTTGCTGAGCCGAGAATGACAAAATCTAAAAGTGCAAAGACATTCGAAAAATCGAAATGCGCTTGGCCAATCAGCACGCGCCAATCGAGACGCGCTACCTCTGCTCGATTTTGAGGGCAAGAGAAAAACGGAAAAATCGAGTTGAAAGCGCGCTGCTCGATTTTTCTCAAATCGGCTCTTATGCCCCCCAAGCATATAAAACAGATGGCCGCCGCCCCCTGTGCTTGTGCACCTCGCGTTTTTTTCTTTCAGTCACAAACAACCACTTTTTCCCAACTTCTTTTTTCACAGCATTTTCTTTGCTTTTCCCACCCTCCACTCCAAACACCCACACTCACGCTCACACACCCAATTTCAAATGGCACCCAAGGTCGCAGAGTCCAAGTCCGCTGTCGGTGGCAAGGCCCCCGTCAAGTCCGTTGGCGAGAAGAAGGCCCGCAAGGCCGTCCGCAAGGAGACCTACTCGACCTACATCTACAAGGTCCTGAAGCAGGTTCACCCCGACACCGGTATCTCGAACAAGGCCATGTCGATCATGAACTCGTTCGTCAACGACATCTTTGAGCGCATCGCCACCGAGGCCTCCAAGCTCGCTGCCTACAACAAGAAGTCCACCATCACTTCTCGCGAAATCCAGACCGCTGTCCGTCTCCTGCTCCCCGGAGAGCTGTCGCGCCACGCCGTGTCGGAGGGCACCAAGGCCACCACCAAGTTCGTTGCTGCCTCCAAGTAAACTTCTTATACTTGTAAATATAAACTCTTGCACAAAAACTAACAGTGATAATATTATGGGCGTGGATGCCAGAAACAATGCTTTTTATGTACTTTGGTTCCCGCTTATAATTAATGGCTGGGCTGTATGATGATGATGATGTGTACTTGCTTTTCGAGAAAATATGCGAATAATAATGTGGCACTATTGCTGACTAAATGCATACATTTTGACAATACAATGGGTTTGGCCGTTTTTCTGTACATGGCAAAATGCAAGCTAATCCTACAGACGCCAAACAAAGGAACTAATAAAGATTATTGGAAAAGCATTAGAAACAAACAAGAATTCTTGAAATTCTAACAACCTAGTGAGGGGTGGTTTGGGTTATGTACTCAGCGAGGGTTTTGAGATAACAAGATAAAGCTTTGTGGGAGTACCTGACTTGAAATTGTATAATTAGGATATTGTACATAACCAGTGTGCTGGCAAATTTGGTTTCTATTCGCGCATATATTGAGATAAATTAGCAATATTTTGTAAAAGCATCACAGGCAGAATCACTGCCAGTTTGACATTCACAACCAATACTTATTTGTTTGTAACTTTATTCACTATTCTTGGAATTCATTTGTACATTTGTTCTGCTGACACGCTGAAATGCAACCGCTTTAGGTTGTTGTGTAAATAAATTGCTGGGGATTAGTGATCCTTTGACTTTTCGGCCTAAATATCTCAAAATTCTAATTTTGACTGTCTACTCGAGTATTATTAAGCTGGAAATAGACCACTATAACATTCTCAATGGTCTTTTATGATAAGTCAAGTCAAGCAAACATAAACATATTTTATTATATGCTTACGTTTTTCCAAATTTTCTCTAAGAGTTGACGCCAAAATGTATTGCAAACTCGCATAAAACAACACAAACAGCATATATTAATCCAAACGTGGTCAAGTTGTACCAAAGTAGCATTATTATATGCAACTTTGCTCCAGAATTACAAAAATAATATTTTTAGCACTTGTCAACATAAATAAATGGGGATATTTGTTATATTTACAACATTATAACTACTGAGCAAGTAAAGGCATGTCGAATGCGGTTTATTGAATTTAATAACCTAATTTAATCCGATCACGCCACTTTGCCAATAAAAATCATTTTATGCAGATTCTGTCAGCACAAGAGATAAAAGCGATCTGCACCGAAACATTCATACTCTCTCCACTTTGCTTTTCGATTGAATTTCTCTCCACTTTTTAGACACCAATTCAGACTTTTTACTATTTATGTGTTAAAAAACATGTACGCAATTCCGAACAAAAACAGACTCGTGCAAGCCACGCCGCGGCTCGGTAGCAGCGGTGTTTGCATCTGGAGATCGTACTACTCTGCGTCAGACTTTGATCGGCTACAAAGATTGCGCAACGAGTTCAACAAGGCCAAGTCGAACGACACGTCGGGAAAGTGGAAAAGTAACGCCAGCGCGGGAAATCCCACCAATCCGAGTATATCGAAGCGCCCGGTCATCGGCGGGCACGCACGGAACAATCTTAAATCGGCGCACAGCGTGATCCCAACTTTTAAGCCGTTCTTCGAACAAGCATCGCCAACAGTAACGATAGAGACAGCACATGCAGTCCCTGCAAAGCTTGAGCAGAAGCCTAAGGAGGACAGCAGCAGCAAAGTTGATTCGCCAAAGCCAGCGCTAGGAAGTGCCAGGTTCTTTTTCATGGGACGTGGCCAGCCAACAAAACAGACAGAATTGCCTTCTGTCGCTTGGGCATCCAAAAATAATGCTGCACAGGACTTGCCACCTGCCACGGGCTCTACAGGGACTGCAAAAAACCAACCTGCGTCAGGTCTGGGCGCCTCCAAGACCGCCAATGCTATGGGCAGCGCGGATTTGAAGGGTCGGTCTTCAGAACTTTCAAGGATGGTTCAGGAGTACGGCCGGCGCCACAACCCAGCAGATAAAAAGAACGCGCCAAAAAAATTCGAGCAGCAGTCACCAACTCAGCAAGATCGGAAGCAGCCGGATATTAAATATGCAAAGCAAGGTGATGCGCCAAAGAAGCCAGTTGAGCATAAGCATTGCACAAGCGCTGCTTCCAGGAGGCCTGGCCAGCGCATCGAGAACGCGGATCAGGACGACGAGAACCAGATGAAGCGGAGGCGCAGAAAGTTTAAGCTTCCAAAAAAGGGCCTGGAGGTTGTTCTGCCGATCACCATCACAGTCGACGGCCTGGCCAAGCTTCTCGATGTCCCCAACGACCACATGCTACGCAAAATGGCGAACATTGGCATGGACAAGCTGGCCAACAACTATTTGTTGACCAATGAGGAGGCGGCTGAAATCGCGCTGGAATACGAAGTGGTACCGATCATCCCTGAGAACAGCGGCCCAGAGCTTCTGCCGCAGCCTATTCCCGAGGATATGTCTGTGCATCCTTACCGCCCACCGGTTGTCACCATCATGGGCCACGTCGACCATGGCAAAACAACACTTTTGGACACCTTGCGCAACTCCACGATCACTGCGAGCGAGGCGGGCGGCATCACGCAGCACATTGGCGCGTTCTCGGTGGAGCTGAAGGACGGCCACCACATCACATTTCTGGACACGCCAGGGCACGCCGCCTTCAGTGCGATGCGTGCTCGCGGTGCCAATGCGACAGATATTGTAGTCCTTGTAGTAGCGGCGGATGACGGCGTGATGCCCCAGACGAAGGAGGCAATCCAGCATGCACTGGACGCGGATGTGCCGATTATTGTCGCGGTCAACAAATGCGATAAGCCGGGAGTTGACCCTTCGCGCATCCTAGAGGAGCTGCTGAAGTACGGCATTCAGACTGAGGAGATGGGCGGCGACATCCAGTCGGTCAATATCTCGGCGCTAAAGGGTACTGGAGTTGACGAGCTTGCTGAGAACATTGCTACACTGGCCGAAGTGATGGACCTCCGCGCTGAGGTCGACATCCCGACGCACGCGACAGTGATCGAGTCCCAGGTTGAGAAGGGTCGCGGCAACGTCGCCTCCGTCTTGGTGAAGCGCGGGACGCTGCATGTAGGCGACATCATCGTGGCCGGCACAGCCTGGTGCAAGGTGCGCAGCATGTCTGACGACAGCGGCAATTCTGTCAAGTCAGCGACGCCTGCAAGCGCAGTGCGGGTTATGGGGTGGAAAGAGATCCCGCAGGCAGGAGACATGGTCTTGCAAGCCGCATCTGAGAGCCAGGCGAAGGACGTCGTCGCCAATCGCATTGACAAGCGCAAAAACAGAGACAAGCTGCAGACAATTGGCGCGATGAACGAGCAGCGGCGTGAGACCAATGAACGCGAGAGCAGCGAGCGCGCAGAAGAGAAGGCATACAAGAAGGCTGTCTGGGAGTTCCACAACGGCCTTCGCAACACGCACCCGGACCCGCTTCCCAGAAAGGGTGCGCATAGCGGAGATGTTTCTGGCGGGACCACTGAGGAGATTCAGGTCCAGGTCGTTCCGGTCGTGATCAAAGGCGACGTGTCAGGAACCGTCGAGGCTGTCGCTGGCGCATTGAAACAGCTTCCAGACAAGAAGATTCGAGTCAACGTCATCAGCACGGGTGTTGGGCCAGTGACAGAGTCGGATGTGACCATGGCGGGCTCGGGCTCGCAGGGCGTGGTCATCGCATTCAACGTAAAAGCAGACAAAAAGACGCTTAACGCAGCCAAGCGCGAGGGTGTCGAGGTTATGCCGTTCCGCGTAATATACAGGCTGCTCGAAGACGTCGAAAAGCTGTTGACTTCGCGGCTCGAGCCTATTCGAATCGAAGAGATCCAGGGCGAGGCTGTCGTGCAGGAGGTCTTTGAGGTCACGCTCAAGGGCAACAAGATCGCCAAGATCGCCGGCAGCCGTGTTACTGTCGGTTCAGTGACGAAGGGCGCAAAGTCCCGCGTACTGCGCGGCGACAAGGAGCTGTTTACGGGCGATATCAGCTCGCTGAAGAATATCAAGCACGATATCAGCGAGGCGACCAAGGGTCAGGAGTTTGGCATCTGCTTTGCTGGGTTCGAGGATATCAAGGAGGGCGATATCATCCACTCTCTGCGGTACAAGGATATTCCGCAGAAGCTCATGTAGCCAATTCGCAACTCCAGTAGCCACAAAAATTTTTAATACATTATCAATGTTCTTCGCAGAACGTACAAATTGATTTTATTGTTTTTTTGTATTGTTGATTTTAACTCGGCGCCAAGAGTGTGTCCCTAATTTTTCGCACTATTTGTTTGGCTATTATGCTCAGAAATCGAATCGTCATCACCAAAGTCAATCATAGCTGCCATTTTTCTTCTTTTTTTTACATCTTTGCGCTGAGGTTTAAAACATGAGTTTCCCGCTTCAAAGTCACATTTGTACTTCTTCACTCTGCTCTCGGTCATATATCTTATTATTCATATCGAACATTTTTATTATAGTATATCATTGACACACACTGACACACTCAAGAGAAGCGCCAAACTTATCGCCATGTCGCATAAAAACAGGCCAAGCGGGCCAAACAGCAGCACCAGCAGCAGTAACATAAGAGAAGACACATCCGGTAAGCACTCTTTTAACTCAAATGCTGAAATTCTAAAAAAAAATTGTCTGAGCGCATTGCAATTTTTCACTAACACGCTCATGGTACTTTTTTACTCTTGTTTTAGTCGGCGCAAGCCACTCCAGTTTGGAGCAGGCAGGCGCGTTTCAGTCGCGCGATGAGAGCATGCCATTACTTCCAGGCCAGCACTCGCCATTGGGGGAATTGGATCTCACAACTCTAGGGACCAGCCGAGACTCTGTGCGCGAGCACGACATCGTGCAGCCAGGGTCGCGCAGTCGGCGGCGAGAGAATTTTTCGTCATCAAGGGCTCCTGAACCCACGCGTGGCCATACGAGACAGTTTAGCGCCAGGTGGTGGAAGCGCCGGGCTCGCTACTATGTGCCCATTGTTGGCTGGCTACCTAACTACAATATTGGCAACCTGGCCACCGACGTCAAGGCTGGGTTCATGGTCGCCTGTCTTCTTGTTCCTCAGGCGCTGTCGTACAGCTCGCTGACAAACTTGCGTCCAGTCTACGGATTGTACACGGCGCTTGTTCCGGCTTTAGTGTATGGAATGCTAGGGACTTCACGACATTTGTCAATGGGCCCCGAGGCGCTGGTATCGGTGCTGACCGGAACCATCGTCAAGAGCCAACTGAAGCATCTTTTTGCTGCTTACAGCCCCAACACCCCTCCTGATGACACTATTGATGCGTTTTCCTCGGCCGTTGCCAGCACAGTGGCCTTGGTTTCAGGCGCTTTTACGTTTGCCTTGGGCATGTTCCGGTTCGGGTTTTTGGATTCTATGATTTCAGAGTCGTCCCTGCGCGGTTTTATCAGCGGTGCAGCCATTGTGGTGCTTATTGGCCAGTCACGGATTGTGCTAGGACTTCCAGCTCCAACTTCTGTCCACACGTCGCCATGGAATGAGCTCAAGTTTATGCTTTCGAATTTAGACCAAATACACGTGATGACTGCAGCCATATCGCTCGGTGCGCTGGTCTTCTTGCGTTTGCTGCGTATAGCAAAGTCCCGGTTCAAGTCGGCCAGGTGGCTGCAAGGAGTTCCCGACACGCTGCTTGTCATTATTTTGGCAACGCTAGTCTCATGGCTCGCAAAGCTCAAAGTCAACCACACTGTCAATGTATTTGGCCATGTCGACGGCGACCTGCCGCACTTTGGCATTCCAAAAATACCGGCGCTTGTCGATACCAAGGACATTGTGTCGTCGGGAATCACAATCACAATGATTGGTGTTGTCGAGTCTGTAATTGTGGCACGCGAGTACGCCAGCCGCAACCACTACGCCGTGTCGTCCAACCGTGAGCTTGTCGCACTGGGCATTTCAAACATTATCGGATCGGCATTTGCTGCGTATCCTGCGTTTGGGTCGCTGTCGCGCAGCAAGTTGAACGACCGTGCCAAGGCGCGCAGCCAGATGTCGGGCATTGTCACCACACTCCTTGTTTTGGTATCGCTTTTGCGCGTTCTGCCCTACCTGTACCACCTGCCTCTGGGCGTTTTGGCCGCGATCATTGTTGACGCTGTCACCTCTCTGCTTGAGGCGACTCCGGGTGCCATATCTTTCCTGTTCAAGGTGGGAGCATGGTCAGACCTGTTTTTGCTTCTGTTCATCTGCGCAAGCAGCGTGGTTGCGTCAGTTGAGACGGGCATCCTGCTTGCAGTGGTCATCTCACTGGTCATGGTTATAAAGCGCTCGAACATGCCACGCATCAAGCTGCTTGGGAGGTCAACCAGTAATGATCAGGAATTCCACCCAATCGACGGTGTGATCTCGCGCCCGAATTTTTTGAGCCAGCAGTCGCTCAGCAGCATCGGTGAGACCCCCCAGCACACTGTTGATGCGGGTGACGTCGAAATATTGGATGATTCCGACAATGCGAGCGAAGGAGAGGAAGAGACGCGTGTGCAGCATATTGAGGGCGTTCTAATCGTGCGTGTCGATGAGCCTCTTTACTTTGCCAACGCTGGCCAGCTACACGCGCGGCTCAACCGCCTTGAGCTGTACGGCGACATGCGCGTGCATCCTTCAGAAGATCCGAGAATGAAGCCCACGAGGGCAGTGGTTTTCGATCTGATCGGAATGTCGGATATCGACGGCAGCGCGTTGGAGATTCTGCTCAATATTGTGCGTGAGTACAGTCGCCGCCAAGTGCGCGTGGCGTTTGCCAGGGTCTGTGATGGGGTACGCGAACGCTTTAGAATATCACGTATGGCCGAAGCCGGCGGCGAACACGGGTTTAACGATATTCGGGATGCGCTGGCGTATTTGGAGCAGCAACTCACAGTTTCTGTAGTGACACAGGAGTAGTGTTGCGCAAATAAACAATTTAAGATACATGGGTTGTGTTTTGGTCATTGTCGAATGTAATTAGTCTAATAAGCACAAAAATATAAATAAATAAATACGTGAAGGTATTTTTTGTCATAAAAAAAGAGAAAAATGGGAAATCGCTGGAGCAGAAACTGAAGCTTAAATAGCAATACAAATACCGAAATATTTACTTCATTTTGTAAGTAGTTTTGTTTTTGCAATATATATATATATTTCACCTAGGTTTTTTCTGATAATGTTAAATTGAGGAAATACCTGAATAAAGATTCAAAAAAATTGGCAGAATAAAATATAAAATATTGTAAGAAAACTCGCCAATATATTTAGGATAGGCAACAATATATGTATAGTTTAATAAAAATATAAAAAATATTTATACAAAGGTTTGCACATACATTATATTCTACGCGCATTATATCCAATAGTGAGTATAAGCTCAATGAGAAACCGGCCGGTGAACAGTGAGATCAATGGCTTCGTTTTCCTTCCAGGCACCTGAGCCATCGTCTAGAATCTCCTTCTTCCATATGGGCAGGCGCGCCTTTAAGCTGTCAATTAAAAAGTGCACTGCGTTAATGGCATCTGCGCGATGTGCAGATGAGGCTATAATAATAACGCTCGTTTGACCAACAGGCACTTCGCCGATCCTGTGGTGCATCGCCGTTCCCAAAAGATGATACTTGCTGCGAGCCTCTTGAACAATGTTGAGCCATTCTTTCCTTGCCATTGGCTCGTATGCCTCGTATTCTAACCGGAGGACACGCTTGCCGTTGAATGTGTTTCTCGTTGTTCCTTCGAATGTCGATATGGCCCCGGCAGAGTCGTCACGAACAAGAGCGCAGGCTCTGTCAAGACTAAGTGTCTCAGACGATATGAGGAAGTGGTCGTAAGCCTCGCAAGCCTGCGTGTTGTGCTTGGGAATGTAGCCCTTGGCCAACTGGTGGTTGCAGCATGAATGCGAATGTGACATTTATTTTGTGAATTGAATTGAATTAAAATAAAACAAAATGAATTGTACAGTCAGCTATGGCAAATGCGTCGACAAAAGAAACAGGAAAGGCAACAATCAAGCCTTGAAATTGATTGTCTCACCCCTTATTATCCTGCCTCCATGTGATCCAGCTCAGGGAATCGTGAACCATTCTTTATTTGAACTAGAAAATAATCTATTAAATCCCTGGGCCCAAAAAGAAAGCCAAAAATCAGCTGTGGTGAGAGTCATTGAGACCCTCCTTGTTCCGGGCAATCTCAATGCAGTAGAACTGCGTCCGCATAACAAACATCGTGTTGTCCTCAGAATAGTCGCCCGTGCAGTCAATGCGAAGAAGCGATCCAAAGTTAAAGTCAGTGACCCGGTTCTCATACTTGTTGATGAACTCGCGCCATTTGGCCTTTGCCATATCAGTCTTGAAGTCATCATCGTTCAGCACGGCAATATTGAGATCGGGGAAGTTCCGCTTAAAATCACTGTAGAGCTCGTCGTCGATCGGCGTCAGCTTAAAGTTCTTTCCGCCGACAGCCTTGAGCAGCTGCATGTATGTCTCGGCGTGGTGCATGGCCTTGACTGCCCACTGCATCTCCATCTCGGCCATGTTGCCGGTTTGATCAGCAGAAGGAAGAGCCATTTTTATTGTTTGCAAATAATCCGATTGATATTGTGCGTCAGAGAAGATGGGGTCAGAAAAATATTTTGCGAAAAAAGCGGCGCATTTCGTTCCCCCAATAAAATTGACATCATTAGGGCCACATTTGATATGTATATGTGGGCCGTGTCACGTGAGAAGAGTCATCAACTCAGCTCTGCTTTGTCTATGTTATAAGAAATGAACCGTGCAAGCAGCCTATTTATCTTGCGTCTTGCAATTGCCGAGCGCAGTGTGCGCAGCACAGATAGTATCGGTGTCATCCATGGCAGACAGATAGTGCGATTTTAAGCGTACAAAGAGACCACATGCAAAATAAGATAACAAACAAATGGCAATATCGAGGCGGATGCCTTCCAGCTGTTTGGCCTATGGCATGGCCGGTGCGTTGTATTAATCCCTCTGCATTGCCGTCAACGCTTTGCATCTTTGCAAAAACATGGTTGCAGCAGATGCTAATTGTAAGCGGGGAAGGAGGCAGGGCAAGCACAATCCGACAATTTCCCTGCGTTCCCCACCTCTCTCTTCTGACCACGTGCTGTGTTTGTTAATAAGCCTTTATTTTACGGGCTGTGATACAATGGGCATTTTCATTCACCCGAGTCATCATCATCATCGCACAAAAAAGGAGAAAATTTAAAGTTGACATGGGCTTGTATTGAGGAAGACTGCACACTACAGCTGGCCCTCGCACTTTTCTGCTCTTGAAATTTCGCAAATTCAATACTTTTATTACAATCTTTAGCAGCCAGCAGGCGCACTAATTCGACTTCCCACAGCCGTTCCCACCACAACAACCACTGTTGTTTGTTATTTTTACTGCTTCCCCTTTTTATAACAGATAAAAAAGACGGTGCTTTTTTCTTGTTTCTCTTCTCGTCTCTACACCCGAGCTGATTATTGGTATACCGTTTCTTTTTTCCGCTTCCAAGCAAAGTATCTTTAGCAATCGCACCCTGTTGGCTGTATGGCCACACCTGATTTTATACAGTTCACCACCAACATAGCGGGATACTCTTCAGCGCAGCAGAATATGTCAAGCAGTAGACCGTCAGCACCACTGGCTAGTAGCAATTATGCCATCCAGGGGCAGCACGGAGAAGCAGACTCTGCAGATATGATTCAGCAGCAGCAGGCGGCGGCAGCTGCAGCGGTTTCGGCAAGCACGGCTACACAGGAGCTGGACACACTCTATGAAAAGCTGAGCAACGTATCCCTAGCGCTAAAGAACTTGGACCCAACAATGCCGCAGCAAAAGGACACAGCAACTTCAAGGTCTCAAACACAAACCTTGGACGGTAACAAGACACCCCAGGACATCTCAGTTTCGGCTTCAGCCTCGTCGCTGGCGGCCGTGGACTTGGGGGCTTCATCGCCCAAAAACGCAGCCGAAGTGCATGCAGAGTCCATTGTACGTGACCCCAGCGAGTGCGATCCGGCGTGTGCGTGTCAAAGAGTGCTGCTGGCGGCCAGCCCCGGTGTGTGTGGCCTGTGCAGTGGGCGGCCACAAGTGCTGGCCAAGCAGAACGACGAACGGCTGAAGGCACTGGATGACCTTGAGATTGCCTCGCAACGCATCAACGAGCTGGCACACGAGAAAGCGAGGCATGTGGATTACATAGCCGACTTGGAGACGCGCTCTTCGGATCAGGAGAGGAAAATCGACAACCAGCGCGACATCATCGCCGGGCTCAAAAACGACCTGTCGGCGATGAACGACAAGTTTGTCGATCAGGTTAACATGACGGCTGAAATTGCGCACTCTCGCGAGCTGGTCGAGGCCGAGCTCGAGGACCTGACCCAAAAACTGTTCACCGAGGCCAATACGATGGTGTCCGCTGAGAAGAAGGCGCGGTTCGAGGCAGAGAAGACCACTGCGCACCTCCGCAACATCATTGCTGACATGGAGGTCCGCCTGGCGAATGAGACCTTGCAGTCGCAGGAGCTCAAGGAGCGCATAGAGAAGATGAGCGCTGAGTATGACGAGCTGGTAGTCAGACGCAACATTGCGTCCAGCCGCCGAGGTAGCTTCAGCTCCCACCACAGCGACATCGTGGATATCGCCTCGATGAAGCGCGATGGGAGCCTTTTGAACAACTCGAACGGGGCAAGTGGAGGCAGCGGCAGCGTGATGTTTGGCGCGCACGGCGATGGGTTCCGTCTGGGCATGCACGCGATTTCTGTCATGGCAGGGACAAAGTCATTGGCAGGAGCGTCGACATCGGGTGTGCCCATCCGGCTGGACGACGTGCTGTTTGCTGAGTTCAGAGACTTTACCACGCAGACGCAGTCCAACCGCCTGGTCAACTACATGACCATGCCATACATAAAGAACGTGGTCACCGAGGACATCGAGCCCTGTCTGCGCTTTGGCCCAAGGCCCCGCATCTCTGTGCGCAACGTGCTTGAGGCCATCTCTTCCAACCGCCTGCATGTCGAGGAGATGTCGGTGCAGGTGGCCGCCGATATGAGCCGCCAGCAGCAGGCGGCTGAGCGCGCCAATGGCCACCGCCAGGCTATGCTCTGGGAGCGTCTAAGCGGTAGCGTGGCCTACAACTCCAAGGGCTGCCAGGCGTGCGGGCGCGAGTGTCAGTGCACCTATCGCTTCCGCATGGGCGTCAAGGCCGATTCGGAGTGGATCCAGATCGATACTGTGTGTCGCGACCGCTTGGTTGCAGTGTGCGAGTTCTACGGCTTTGTGCGCTACCTGCGCCAGGGTATCTTTGCCTCGCGCTCTGTCATGGATCTGTACATGGAGACTATTCGCCTGCGCCTGTGCATGTTCTACGCTCGCATTGGCTCCTATGGTGTCGCCATCGACTTGGATCCTAATTTGAACGAGGCCACGCTGTTCACACGCACCCCCAGCATGCCACCCCAGCCGGACTCGCCGAGTGCGCTGAACCACATGCCGTCATTCAGCTCGCAGCTGTCGCCGCTGGGTGCGCCGTATATTCACTCCCAGCGCGCCACGAGCGCAATCAGCGTTCCCTGGAGAGAGCCCACGCCTATATCTATGTCCCAGCTTGCTGCCGACAGCAATGACCATGTGAATCGCAACCGCAGTAAGTCCCAAGAGACTCCGACCATGTCATCGGCATCGGGTACTATGTCGATGCCTCTCCGACCGATAGCAAGGGTGCCCACAGTCGCAGAGGAAACGATTTCAACCGACGGGAGGGAGCCGTCAAAGCCTGATGTTGACAATATTGCAATCAGCGCGAACAGCAGCATCCACAGCGTCGCAAACGACACGCCGGAGATCCAGGCTTCTGTCACCTCAGTCGATGCCAAACCCAGCAACAACATTACCAACAACGACGACGATGACGACGTGCCGATCATCTCCATAAGCAGCGCTGCCGCCGTTGCTGTTGCCGCCCTGACGCCCCCAAAAGTTGACGATAGCGTGGCAACGGACCAGCATGACTCCCCGACGCTCTAAGCACAACGAAACTAAATCTGACATTTCATTTTAGCCTCAATTTAATATCAAATAAACTCATCACTCCACTTTTCTAATTGAATAGTTTTACCGTAAACAAACCAAAATACATTGAATCCGTGTACGGTCTCGCACACAACTAAAGGAAAAAGGCTAAAAACAGTTAATGTCTATTTTCAATCGACACCTTAAGCGGCAAGGATAACGGCACCACCGCTGGCCTTGATCTTCTTCTCAGCCAGGCTGGAGACGTAGCGGGCCTTGACAATGATGGGGCGCTTCTTGTCGAGTCTGCCCTTACCGAGGACCTTGGCGTAGCCGCTTCTGATGAGGTCAACAACCGGGGCAAGCTCCTTGTTCTCAAGGGCCTTGGCGCGGGACTCAGCGTCAACAAGGGTCCAGATCTTGTTCACGTTGATGGTGGGGCGCCAGAACTGGTTCTGGGTCTTGTGGAAGTAACGCATACCGACCTTACCAAAGTAACCGGGATGGTACTTATCCATGTGGATGCGGTGGTGGTGCTGACCACCGGCAAGACCACGACCTCCGGGATGCTTGCGGTGCTTACCAATGCGACCATGTCCGGCGGAGACGTGTCCGCGCTTCTTACGGTTGTGGGAGAAACGGGTCGGCTAAAAATAAAATAATTGAGGAAAAACAAAAAGGCTTGGGTATTAGTAAAGTGTGTTTAATGCAACAGGGCGTGTGGGTGTTTGCAGCGCAACAAGTGTATGTAGAATGTGCGCGCGCAGCAGTAAAAGTACACACTGCTGCTGCTGTTGTTTTGTTGCTATCTGCGAGTTACTGGCATCGTGCAACGGCTTCAAAAAAACGCAATGTATATGCGCAGAAGAGCGTTGGGGAATTAACAGCGGCACAGTCCTCATTTAAAAAGAGAACTGCTTGGACCATTCTGAATAGGTTGTCTAGAGATCGCCAAAGCAAACGTGGATCTGCCTCCCATTCCTCCAGGCACAAATCAAAACAAGTGCCCTTAGAAATAAAAAAGCGCTTGAGCGATCTCTAAGACAGCAAATGCAAAAAATTCGAATCGGTCGAAATTTGCAAATGCCCCTCATTCCATTTGCTGCCCTTCAAAATTGAAAATGCCGCCACTAGTGTTGAGAGCTCCTCAAAAATCAAAGTGCTAACAATATTGTTTAAGCGTATCCATTTACTGATATTTTGAGTTTGCAGCCAACACTACATAAATTGGCTGTAATTCCTGCCACGCATCCATCCGTCGCATCCATCTAATTTTGAAGCCGTCGTATCCATCGCTCCGCGCAAACACTGTTCCGATCTGGATTTTGTCTGTGCAAAACTGCTTGCAAATAATTAACGCTGTTTACGCACCATTTTGAAAATATAATTAAAGCCAGTTAGTGAGAAAGGATGAACACACAGGCCCTACCTTTTTGCTGTGCGTTTTGTGAGCTCTAACTTGCAGCTACACCCACTTCAAGCCTTCAAATTACTCGAAATTGGCGCTGGCAGCCGATTTTTCACTCTTTTGCATGTGTATAGCGCGAATTCGTGTCTTGATTTGATCAGTTATCCGATCAGTGGATCATTATTTTTTGCCTGTTGCAAAGACAGAAAAAAGCGAAAAATTAAACAAAGTTGTACTTTTTTAGGACTCGCTTTCTCAGTTTTTTTTGCTGCTGCTGGTTCAGCTTGCTGCTTAGGATCGCGAGTGCAAGCAAGGAAGCGCTCGACATGGTCTCACAGTCCTCTGCTTGCTCTTTGTCTATACTTGTTGTTATTTTTTGTCTATTGCACGTCGATTTTCTATTTGACCTTTCACCCACAAATTCAATTCCACCGATACACCCACCACGTAAAACTGAATAATGCGGCCACTTACAGACGACGAGACCAAAGTTTTGTTTGAGAAGCTCTCAAAATAGTAAGTGCATCGCTTTGACAGGACATAACCCAGTGTCGAAGAAGCCAAGGTAATGCACCTGATAAACCCAGCTGTGGCATTCGCTAAACCTGACCTTTCAACCCTTGTTCACACTTCATAGCATCGGTCGCAACATTGTCCACCTGATCGACCGCCCCGACGAGCCATACTGCTTCCGGTTACAGAAGGATCGCGTGTACTATGTCAGTGAAGACATCATGCGCAAGGCGACGCCAATTGGCCGCCTCAACCTGATTGCACTGGGAGTGTGCTTCGGCAAGTTCACAAAGACCGGCAAGTTCCGCATGCACATCACGGCGCTGCCGTACTTGGCGCAGTACGCGACATACAAGGTATGGGTGAAGCCCAACGGCGAGATGCCCTTCTTGTATGGCAACCATGTTGTCAAGGCCCATATTGGACGTGTCACAGAGGATATGCCTGAGCACCAGGGCGTTGTAATTTACAACATGGCTGATGTTCCCCTGGGGTTCGGTGTCAGCGCGAGATCGACCGTGGATATGCGCAAGGTTGACCCGACCGGTATCGCTGTGTTCCACCAGTCCGATAACGGCGAGTACCTGCGTGAGGAGGATGCCCTGTTCTAATTGAGTTTATGGTTGTTGGTTGGTAGCATGGCTACGTGTGCGATTACGTTCCTACCAATGTGATGTGATACTATCTTTTTTTGCGCTTTTTGAACATACAAATATGAGCACATTGTCCAGAATTAAACATTACATAACATTGAACAATATGGAACAATATGCACTGACTATAGTGGGTGATAAAATAATAGATATATTAAATTGAAATCGAATCAAATAGCTGTAAATCAAAGGGAAATGAAAAAGAAGACATTTCACGCATCCGGCACGTACTTGCTTACTGGGTCTTGAGCTTGTTCTTGGCGGCCTGCTTCTTGGTGTAAGTGCGCTGGAAGAACTGGATGAAAAGCAGCAGGTATGACGACAGCAGGGCGCAGCCAAAAATAGCAGCATCCTCAGTTCCAGCGCAGTCACCGTAGCACGGGAGCGAGGGGTAGTAGCGCGAGCCGATAAGCTGGTAGGTGCAGAAGTAGACGAATCCAAGATCGATGATGAATTGGGTGATCTGAAGAGTAGTAACGTACTTCTTCCACCACGGGTGGATACCGCACGACGCAAGGAAGTAATAGAAATACATGATAACATGAACGAACAGGTTGAGCGTGATGACGACCCACGAGACCGAGGTGGCGCCGTTGAGTTGGGTGAAGCAGAGGACCATGGTCAGCGTGTGGTGGTAGACGTGCAGGAACTGCAGGGGCTTCTTCTTGAGAGCCAGGAAGACAGTGTCGGTGAACTCGAGCCACTTGGTCAGGTAGTTGAGGTAGTAGAGAACCTCGAGGCGCTGGGTCCACGCCTTCTGGTCGCACACGGCGTAGAAAAGACCGCCCTCGGAGATGATTGGCGCTAGCTCTTCGACAAAAAGCACCAGAAGGACAAGCGACACGAGGGTGAGAATGAGGTTATGGACCTGCGCGAGCCTGTTAAGCTTGAATCCCTTGTGCGATCTCATCAGGAACTGGATCCCAAAGATGGCTCCGAGGTAAACGATCATGCCCAGGCCGACCTCCTGCCAGGTCGACAAATAAGTGGTGCCGTTGACCCATCTCCACTGCGACTTGTCGTATCCTGCCGCGGTGTAAGCAGCCGAAAGCCACGCATCCGGGCTGAACATGTTGAAGGCTGCGTCGACGGGCACGCTGGCAGCGAGTGTGCTGCCGAACTCAGAAGCTACTGCTGCTGCTGCGCTCATAATAATCGACAACGGTGAGTGAGTATACTTGCCGATAAGACGCGAGTCTTGAGGTAATTTTTTTGTTTATGTTGATAGAAATTAGAATAAATGCTGGAACAGATGGTGTAAATGTAAGTAGCGCAATGAGGGCAATGCAGTGCACAGACAATATAAATAAATAGACAAAATAACAAAACGGCGAGGGAAAGATACAGGTTGGCAATAGAGGATATGAAAATAGAAATAGGGAGAGCAAGCGGGGATGGTAGAACCAAAGAAAAGAAAACAGAAGAGAAAAGGAAAGGAAAGAAGATAGGTATGCTTCAGTAGTGTGCTGTACCACGCGTGTATTAGCCGGCGCACTACCTGCTAAAAAAACAAACAAACAAAAGCTTGACACAAAGACAAAAAATGTACTCTTTTTTCTTGTGGGGAGGCGAAGTGTAAAAACAGAGGGGAAGGGCCAAAGTGGGGGTTGTTTCAAGCGTGGGGGGAAAAGAGTTCAGAAGACCAAATTTGGGTTGGCAATTTTGGAATGGATTTCCCTTTTGTCCAGCATTATTCTTCCTCCTTTCGAGTATGGGCTTTGCCTTTACCTGCTCTCCAACCCCAGCGCCTTCGGAAATGTTATTCTCTTTGGACTGTCATGCGCAATTGCGCCCTTTGTAAGCGAGCCCCCGCCCCCCTCGCCTGCCTGCCTGGTGTTTGTTTGTTATGCTTTAAATCGAGCTTTTCCTTTGCTGAATTGCTTAATTCCGCCGGGCCAGCAGGAAAAATTGTATCGCACGTCCGCCAGTGCTCAAGCGGTCCAATGATCGACCGACAATTTCCCCAATCAATTTGTTTGGATTGTGTGCCGGTTTCTACATAATTTTTTGCTGTGCAACAAACTAAACTTGACCGACATCTGGAAATCTCCCTCCGCTTTCCTGCCCAACATGTGTATGGCCGCGCTGAAGCAGATGAACAAGCATCCATGCACAACGTTCCAGCATGTGAAGATGAGGTCCTGCCACCAAATTCGTTTTTTGCACCCCTTTTTAACCAGAAAACGCCTCTGGCCCACAGACCATGTACAATAGTATCATGTGGGCATGTGAGTTGGACTCCCCGAAAAATAAACGTACTTAGTCATATGAGGGACCCGTCTCAATGAATTTTGCAGGCACTTGAAAGATGTTTGTCCCTTCGAGCACGCTCGGGCTACTGCGCTTCTCTATTGTCGATCGAAAACAAAAAAGGTAAAAAAAAGTAAAAGCACCATTTCAAAATGTCCGCTGACAGCAGAAATGCCAGAGAGCGTGCAACCTAATCATGATTATATTTATGTTGATCAGATTTAATTGTATTTTATTTTTAATTAGCAGTAACAAAGCTGAATAAACCTGTTTTCTTGTGCTGCGCTCAGTTGTGCAACTTTAAAAATTCATGCAGTCGTTGAATAGCTCCCCATTTATTTATGCCAACAAGTATTTAAATTGATATATTTGGAAGGCACAAGTAAAGTTGCATATAATAATGATACTTTAGCACAAATTGGTCACGTTAGTATTAATGTGTTGCGTGTGCTGATATGTGCGAGTATGCAATACATTTTGGCGTCAACTCTTAGAGAAAATTTGGAAAAACGTAAGCATATAATAAAATATATTTATGTTTGCTTGACTGACTTATCATAAAAGTCCATTGAGAAAGTTATAGTGGTCTATTTCCAGCTTAATAATACTCGAGTAGACAGTCAAAATTAAAATTTTGAGATATTTAGGCCGAAAGGTCAAAGGATCACTAATCCCCAGCAATTTATTTACACAACCTAAAGCGGTTGTATTTCAGCGTGTCAGCAGAACAAATGTACAAATAAATTCCAAGAATAGTGAGTAAAGTTACAAACAAATAAGTGTTGGTTGTGGATGTCAAACTGGCAGGGATGCTGCCTGTGATGCTTTTACAAAACATTGCTAATTTATCTCAATATATGCGCGAATATAAACCAAATTTGCCGGTACACTAGTTATGTACAATATCCTAATTATACAATTTCAAATCAGGTACTTCCACAAAGCTTTACCTTGTTATCTCAAAACCCTCGCTGAGTACATAACCCAAACCACCCCTCACTAGGTTGTTAGAATCTCAAGAATTCTTGTTTGTTTCTAATGCTTTTCCAATAATATTTATTAGTCGCTTTGTTTGGCGTCTGTAGGATTAGCTTGCATTTTGCCATGTACAGAAAAAACAACCAAACACATTGGATATCTGCATTGAAACTTGGTTGTTCAGTAATGCTTACAGCCTGCAGGCTCATCTAAGCTGCTTAGCACACAGATATATTTTTTTGTAGAAGTTTGGCGGATGTTCGCTCACAATTTCGCTCACCCTTACACATGTGATTTTTTTAGGTATCCTTATAGCACACATTATCGTATGAGCATACACTAATTGTTTTTTTTTCAAGAATAATGTTCCATTATTATTTTGATAATTATAATTACATAGAAAAACGACTGTTGGTATGAAAGTGACAACTACCGCTGCGTAAGCATAACCTTTGGCAGATGCCAGATGCAACCACTAAACTGTCATACAGTTTACTTGGAGGCAGCAACGAACTTGGTGGTGGCCTTGGTGCCCTCCGACACGGCGTGGCGCGACAGCTCTCCAGGGAGCAGGAGACGGACAGCGGTCTGGATTTCGCGAGAAGTGATGGTGGACTTCTTGTTGTAGGCAGCGAGCTTGGAGGCCTCGGTGGCGATGCGCTCAAAGATGTCGTTGACGAACGAGTTCATGATCGACATGGCCTTGTTCGAGATACCGGTGTCGGGGTGAACCTGCTTCAGGACCTTGTAGATGTAGGTCGAGTAGGTCTCCTTGCGGACGGCCTTGCGGGCCTTCTTCTCGCCAACGGACTTGACGGGGGCCTTGCCACCGACGGCGGACTTGGACTCTGCGACCTTGGGTGCCATTTGAAATTGGGTGTGTGAGCGTGAGTGTGGGTGTTTGGAGTGGAGGGTGGGAAAAGCAAAGAAAATGCTGTGAAAAAAGAAGTTGGGAAAAAGTGGTTGTTTGTGACTGAAAGAAAAAACGCGAGGTGCACAAGCACAGGGGGCGGCGGCCATCTGTTTTATATGCTTGGGGGGCATAAGAGCCGATTTGAGAAAAATCGAGCAGCGCGCTTTCAACTCGATTTTTCCGTTTTTCTCTTGCCCTCAAAATCGAGCAGAGGTAGCGCGTCTCGACTGGCGCGTGCTGATTGGCCAAGCGCATTTCGATTTTTCGAATGTCTTTGCACTTTTAGATTTTGTCATTCTCGGCTCAGCAAAGCCCAAGAGTCCAAAGCTTTCTGCGACGCCTTATCAGCATTGGCAGCAGCAGGCATTAAGGCCAGCAGTGCTATTGTCTTGGTTCTGTTTCGAGCCAGGCTGAACCAAAGTGTTCTTTGCGTGGAAAAAAGACGCACCAGTACCAGTGGTAGTACCAGTGGCAGTGCCAGCGCCGGCACCAGCACCAGCAAAGACAACAGCCGGCGCCTGTGCTCGGAGGCACGCAGCCAGACGCTCTGGCTCCAGCTCACGCGAAAGATGCAAAAAAACTACGCAGATACGGGCCAAGAATAGCCGCACGGCACCAGACGCGAGACGCAAGATCCAAAAATGCAAGACGAAAAAAGTCAGAAATAAACTGGCCGACGCTGATTGGCTGAAATCGAGGAGCAGCTGTGGTTGTCGATTTTTGAAAAATCGAGCACTCAGTACACACTTCGATTTTCGGCACGCGAAAAGAGGCACGGCAGCCAATCACAGGCGTCCAATTATTTTTTTGCAGCGCGCCGTTGCAATTTCGTATTTTTCGTCTTGGCAGGAGAATGCACCCGCTTGATTAGCCCCCAAAAGGCACGCTTTACGCTTTGTGCTTGCTCGATTCGATTTGGGGTTTTGAAATTTTGCATTTCTCGATATTCCAGCACGAACGCGTCTCTGCATTTTCTATCAACCAACCGCCCTTGCTCATATATAAACAGCCGGCAAGCGCCGCCATCTCATTTTTGCTGGTTTTTTTTCTTGTGCTTTACCAATACACATTTTCATTCCACGCTTTTTCTTCAGTCTCCTTTCGCTCTCGAGCAAACACACAACCACAACACACAACCACCCTCCCCTCACAACACTCACTTTTAATCACAATGGCTGGTGGCAAATCCGCATCTGGCAAGGCCGGTATCTCCGCTTCGGCCGGACCCAAGTCGCGCTCGAGCAAGGCTGGCATCCAGTTCCCTGTCGGCCGTATCCACCGTCACCTGCGTCGCGGCAACTACGCCCAGCGCATTGCCGCCGGTGCCCCCGTCTACCTGGCCGCCGTCCTCGAGTACCTGACCGCCGAGATCCTCGAGCTGGCCGGTAACGCTGCCCGCGACAACAAGAAGACCCGTATCATCCCCCGTCACCTGCAGCTCGCCATCCGCAACGACGAGGAGCTCAACAAGCTGCTCGGCAACGTCACCATCGCCCAGGGTGGTGTCCTGCCCAACATCCACGCCACTCTCTTGCCCCAGAAGTCCAAGAAGGCCAACCCCTCCCAGGAGCTTTAAGCGCATTTTTCACTCTAATTATCAACCAACCTGGTGTGTTGTTTAATTTTTCTATGTTTATTGTTGTTCATTAATGCTCAGCGATAAATTTATGTACAATAAATTGAATTGAAGTTTTAACACTCTTATTTTTGTCTGGCTCTGCTTTGGATTTGTGATTGAAAAATTGCACAAAGGGTCCAATTTTTAAGGCGAAAGGGGCAGCAGTAAAAAAGAAACAGGTCGATCAAACTTTGTGCAAACAAGTTATTTCATTTTTCCTTCCGCGTTTTTTTCGAATCGAAATGAAACCATTTTGTTAATTCAAATTGGCCTTTATTCCTCGTTATCTTATTTTATTAATTCCAATTTATTTTTTTGCAATGGACGGACGCGGCAATAAGGACGCAGCAAACTTTTTTAACAGAATAAAAAATGTCGAGGTGCTAAAGTCGCCATACCCTCGCCACCTGGGGCAGCCCAGTCGTGGCTCAGGTCTGACCGCCTCAAGCACACGGCCTATTATGACTGGAAATGCCATCAGCGGCGCACCACCCGGGTCAATGCGCCCAATCTCCACACACAACGCGCCAACATGGCACCACCCCATTCCGCGACATGGTGAAAATGCCGTGTCGCCCGCCGATATTTCCAGACGTATTAATGGTGGTCCTGTTTTTGACCATAAGATGTCTGTGTCTCACCGCTCGCCGTCAAAGTACCCGGTATCTGTACAGCCGATTCGGACGCGCCCACACTCGCTGCCAGATCAGCGGTTTATCCCCGGAAGCACCCTGCCAGCACACGTCCTTGCTGCCAACACAACACAGTGCCATATTAATAGCTGGTCTGCTTACCTGGACTCGGCTAGGGGAACTGTCAGCGTTCACGGGAAGATCATGAGGGCTGATGGGCGCCAGGCAGTTCGGCGCAGCTCTGCCATTATAAAGGTGGTAGATAGCCGCACGTTGCTGACCAACAAGGGTACCTATTACATGTTGGTCGGTCCTGCAGACATCGAGGCTATGCGGTTAAACGGGTTTCCAGAGCACCTTATTCCATATTTTGCCGAGGGGTTTCCTCAAAACTGGAGGCAGCTCATTGAAGCGGATTTTGGCAGAAAGTCCCCTGGCGCGCATTACGAGGCGCCACCAGCCTCTGCCCTGAGGACAAGCATTGCTTCGAAGCAGAGCCCGACACCCTTGAGGCGCGAAGAGTCAACCGAGGACTATGCTGGATTTGAGAGCTTGCCCTCGTTGGTGCTCAGCGATAAAACATACGCACAACAGACTATTTTTTCCAGGTCGCCAGCAGCGGCTAATGCAGAAGCTAAGTCACGCAAGGCCTCTTCGGTCTACAGCAGCGGCGCCAGCTTGTTTGCTCGTGGCGGGTTCGGAAGATCTGTGCCTCAGAAAAACAATCAGCCAAGTGCCGAAAAACAAGCAGAGCTTGTGCTTGAAGAGTCGCATTCGTTCGAGGACGGTGGTATTGACAGGATCACGGAGTGTGACGAAGAACAGACCTCGAGGGCTGACACCGGGTGCGAAGATGCAGCAGTTACCGCCGATGAAGGTCAAAACAGTCCCATACCACAGTCAAGCTGTACAACGGGCCTCGATTCTGAGGACCTACATGACTCACCGGAGTTGGTTGCACGTCGGCCGGCACTATTAGAGTCAATCGAGGAAAATGACATAGAAAAGTTGGACAAGATGTTTGAAAACGCCAGTAAGCGTTTAGTCCCAGCACGATCAAAGCCGGCTGCGTCTTCTGCCAAGCGAAATGTACCAAAGAGAATTATCAATAGCTCCGACGAGTCATCCCAGCCATCGCTGACTTTAAAGCCAAATTTGGACTCGACCTCAAAAAAGGAGAGCAATGTGTTTATGGACACCCCGACGAAACAGTCCCGGCGTAAGGCCACGCCGACAACGCCGACAACCAGATCTTCGGCTAATCGCGCGCCAATAACGCCTAAGGCGTCTTTGCCATCGGGCCAAGCGGGCACTCCCACATCAACGCCTCGCAAAAGACCCGCCACAAAGCCTGTCTCTACAAGGTCCAAGGCAGCTCAGGAAAGTGCGGTCTCAGCGGTATCGGCCGCTGAATCGGATGATTTCCCGCAGGATCTGCCTCTGGATCTAAATTCTGACTCTGAACCAGACAAGGAATTAGGCGACAGACCAGTGGATACGCCCAGTTCAAGCACCGTCACGCCCAAGCGAAGAATTGTCAAGTCGTTCTTTAGGTACACAGAGCCCAAACCTTTCTCTACATCTGTCACTCGTTCAGGGCGCAAGGTGCGCAGACCGCAGGATTGGTGGGCCAACGCACAGGGACATCTCGATGAGAGCGGCATCAGTAACCATGCGGAGCCGAGTATTAAGTTCAAGTGGGGATCGGGCGAGGCAGTGGTCGTCAAGGATGGCAAGCGGGTGCGACTGTCTGACTACTATCTACAGGGTGGCGACGACAAGCCGCTGTTTGTTGCTGGTAATGAATATGACCAGGAACCACATTCATCTTGAGCACTTGGCGAGAGAGCATAATTAAATTTTTTAAAATATATTTGGTGCTCGCAAAATTTACTCATAAAATATGGCAATATGATAAATTTATTAATAAGGTTTACTGATCAATATCTTGATGTATTGCTGATGCGCAGTGCCGAAATGACGACATTATTACAGCTTTGTATTCAGCTTCGGCAAGGTTACTGTTGTCTCGAGAGTCGTGCAAATATCATTTCCATTAACGAGCTTGGTCACTATAATGATCTCGCCCTTGCTGTTTGGCTCCTCGACAACTGCATCAACAACGACGCCCTTGCTGGCCACACGTATGCCCTTGCGATAGTTGATGTTCCAGATAGTGGTAGCCACATGCATCATACTGACGCCAGTAATTTTGGTTAGCAGGAACGAAGAGGCATTGCACAATACAGTTGCTAAAACGCCACCATGTATGTAATACTTTGGCCCAGCAATGTTCTCGCCAAAGTCAATTATTGCAGCCATTCGCCGCTGCGCCATGCTCAACAAACCAGCCTTGTGATCCGCAATACCAAGGGGCAAACAGTTCATAACTTGGCTGAGTGCAAGGAGATTATTGTTGTCGAGAGCTTGTACGTCGGGCGCATCGATCTGCGGCAACCGAATTTGGGAATTGTCAGAGCTGGAAGCTTTGGCCACTTCAATTTGCTTGGGCATTTTTGTCATCGGCACAAATACGAATATCATACGGGCAACAAGCAGCAGCTTAGCAGTCTCTGCATCATAAATCGGGCATTTAAGGACAAACTTGCAATTGGCATCATAGACGACCTGAAGCTTGAAGTAAAAAAGTCTGGCGGCTGGCGAGAAGCCCTTTCTGGCGACGTTTAGGTTCACGGTGAATCCAAGATGAGTTTTTGCTCGTGGCGTCAGTGACATCATATGTAAAACCAGCTCTGCACCGGTGTTATCTAGCAGTGTGAGAAGTGTGGTCTCTTGCACGGGCTTGGTGCTGGGAAATTTGTCGCTGCTGTTAAACTGCCAGAAGCTCAGCATTTGTTGGGTTGACGGCGAAAAATAAATATCAGGAGTATCAGTTATGTGCTCGTCAAGTATACGGTTATTTATGAAATCCGATGAGCTAGCCTCCCATTGTGCTTGAAACTTTAAGGGAACAAGATCATCTATCTCGCTGATTTCGCGTTGGATATCGCTGTGCAGAGCGCGGCCAGGCTTCATTATAATGAAAGTAAATTGATTTATAAAAATATGTATTGTGAAAGTAAACTAAAGAAAAGAAAACTATCAAGGTCTGAGTACGCAAGACAATTTTTATTTTGTTTGTCTACGCCTCTCTTCTGACCCCAAATGTTTCCTTAATAGTGCTGTGCGCATATACTTTTTTTAGCTCAAAATACACAGAAAGTGGAAATATAAGATTTTTCAATTAAATATGCAAGTATGCTGATCCTTATAATGTCCACTATGCAAATCAGCTATTTGAAAACGAAGAATTATTGTATTGATGCCTGTAGTGAACAGACAATGCAAATGGTACCCTGACGCATATCCGGACCTAGAGATGCATCTATGGCCCGTCGCCTGGCTGTTGGATCATCGAGACAGGGCCACATGTTCATGTGTCCACGACAGAAATGCACAATTCTGTTGCAAAATGACTTTAATTGGAATCTTTGGGACCCAGCCACAGATCCCCTGGCTGAGACGGTCAATATACTTCAACTGTATCCAGGACCAACACACGCCATACTGGAGGAACTCAAGAAGCCTGTGGACACCCACTACCAGAACAAGAAGCTGTGCTTGGGTATGAGGCGCGGCTGGAAGGAGCTGGCAGAGGACAGGTACACAATGTTAGTCAAGAAACTCTAATATGATTGCACAAGAACAAGCAACGGTGTTCGTACACGAGATTGTAGATAAACAGAACGACTGGTACAAAGGGCAGTGCGACTTGCAGGTCGAACGGGAAATGAAGGGATGCTTGACGCCTGAAAAACGCCGGTTGTTGATGATACTTCAATCTCAACAAACACATTGACTACCAACTTTGCCATGACTGATGCTCTAGCTGGCAGAGCAAGTGCTCAGGCTTAATTTTACCAACACCCTGGCGAACACTTCCATTGCCAGGCAATTAGATCCAGGTCTGGAGAAATCCCAATCACGCAGCCCCTAGAATAATTTTCGTTATAGGGACATGTAACCAGGTATGCAATATAACCCATGAGAGACAAGGTGGCGTGGTAGACAATCGGCCTCATTAATTAACTTTGGTTCATGCTTTTTTACTTGTTTTATATTTCGCAGAATGGATCTATTTTCTCGCTTTCTAACATTACTGTGTTGGAAAACCCCATCCAGCAACTACACAAAAAACTGAAATTTTATAGAAGCGCTGAGACTGAAAATACAACCAGATATTATTAAGTTTTCACTATACATTTCCAAAGAATGTGAAAATCCTCTTTGCAAGCATAATATTACAGTAACAAAAATACGAGTACAATAAAAAAGACGTATAATAAGCAAAGCAGCTAGAATTTGATGCGCTGAAAAAAAATCCACACTTTGCCCAGAGAAAATGTATTCATAGATCCACTTGCTCATTTGACGAAGCCCTGTCCTGTGTTAAAAAAACTAATGGCTATAACCGCCATGATATGTGGATAAATAAATCTGCGCGCTGCCTGTGGGGATGAGTAGCTGCAGCAGAGGGTTGCCTCCTTGGCTTCGCGCTTGGACGCGGCCTTGTACTTAATTTCCTATCTCTTGCAAAAGGTGTTAACGCACTGCCTTTTAACTAAATGTAAAAGCAAGTGCATAAACAATCTCCAAGGTTATCCCGAAGGTTGGGGGTTTGCCACAGTGGTTTATTTGGTTTCAGGCACAATTGCAATTTAAAAATCATCCCCAACTTGCAAATCATGCAGTGTGTGATACATGCATCATTTTTCTTCCTACTACATAATTTTTATACTATACACTTTTTTATTACTTTACCCCAATTTCATTCACATCTGCAACAATGAGCGACAAGCAATCACGGGTTTTCACGTTGGAAGAGCTGAGAAAGTACAACGGGCACAACGACACCACCCCGCTCATTCTGCTGGGTTTTAACGGCAAAGTGTACGACGTGTCAACTTCGCCGCAATTCTACGGGCCGGGTAAGAGCTACAATGTTTTTGCTGGTCGCGATTGCACCAAGGCACTGGCAGTGAATACGCTCAAAGAGGATGCTCTGCCTGGACCAAATGACTCCCCCGTTGACACTTCTGAATTCACGGATGCTGAGAGGCTGGCCATGAATAACTGGGAGCAGAGACTCTCGGTCAAGTACCCTGTGGTTGGAGTCCTCGGGGCGCCAGTAGTGGGCACACTCGAGTAAGAAGGAGGCTCAGCCCATATCAGGGGACTCTTTTGTCTAAACTTTTGAATTGACAACCGCTTGGAGACTGGCCTTGAGCAACCAAAAGTAAAGAGTTCAGTTGATAATTCCATGGGTCACAAGGCTTTTAAAGGCGCAGGCAGGCTCAGTAAGCAGAAGAGCCACAATTAGTATCGGCTGTTGAATAGCATTTTTGTTAAAACATGAAAAATATGGCTAAAAATGAAAAAGTAAAATATGAGGAAGCACCACGGGACGCAAGGAACTGAAAGGCGAAAAAATAAAGATGAAGATATAAATGGAAATAGCAAAGTGCAAAAAAAGAGAAAGAGAAAGAAGACAGAAATTAAAGAAGAATTAGAAGAAATGAAAATGCTGCGCTAGAGTTTATAGTATCAAAGAGATAGAGAGAGAGGCAGAGGTGGTCCAAACACACAGGTCCTTAGACGGAAAATGCGTGACGTAGGTTGCTGAATGCACACTGGTGGAAGAAGTTTGTGCTGCGCACGTAGCGGGTGCCTGCCTGGTTGCGCTCGATCTTCTCAAACAGGCGCACGGTGTACATGCGGATTGCCGGCGATGGATGGTAGAAGCCGTAGGCCAGCGGCTGCAGGCCGCCCTGGCTCTGCGGCAGTGAGGCTAGCAGCTCAGTGACCTGTTCGTCAGTGACGACTTGCTCGTCCAAGCGCTTGTAGATGGCCTCGACCTCGTTGACATCAAGGTTGGTGGAGTTTCGCAGGCAGTAGACCATGTGCGCAATGTCAATGCCGCGGATAAAGCAGCTGGCCTGCATGGACTCGTAGTCGGCAACGGCGTAGTGGTAGGCCTGGGTGCCAATGAACCCCTCAATGCGCGTCTGGTAGAAGCTGATCTCACGGTCCCTGCTCTCCTTGTCGCCAGGGGAGATGCAGTAGCCGTCGACGCCGCGGCTGTCGGCGGCGGCCATATGTGCGGGGTCGCCCAGACGCGTGACGCCGTCGCGCTCGTGCTCGTAGATTGGCACCAGCGACATGAAGCGGCGCACATAGTTCTCGACCTTAGCGCGAATGGCCACCTCGCCGTAGTGGCGCTCAATGGCCAGCATCAGGTCCTGGATGAATTCCGAATCCAGGTTGTTCCACTTATCGGGCTTGCCGTCGCGCGACGAGAAGGAGCGGTTGCGCGACAGTGTCACCGAGTCCAAGCTGCGGCGCAGCGAGTCCGTCTGCGAGCGCGTGTTTGCATTGGCAGTGCCCGGCGGCATGGCCAGCAGCGGGCTGACAATGATTTTGCCGGTGTTGATGTTGCACAGAATGTCCCACCACTCCGGGTGCTCCTCGAATGCCGGGTTGGTGACGCCGGCAATGTAGCCTGGGAACGACAGCAGCGTGTCGAGGTTGGTCAGGTTGGTGTATGGGAACGCGCGGTTGGCGAATCCGCGCAGCACACCGCCGCCGCCGCTGCCCAGCGCCACGGCCGCCAGAACATAGTTGGCCACCTCGCCGGCCGGTTTGCCGTGGCCCAGGAAGATGATGCGCTTCTGCGTCAGCAGCCCGTTCATCAGCAGGATGATCGAGTGTGTGTATTGGCCGCTGGACTCCAGGTGCGGGTGCGGCTGCATGGCCTTGCTGCCGGTCGTCGCCGACAGCGCGCCCGAGAACGTCGTCAGCAGCTGAATAAGCGAAAAGTCGCTGATCTCCTCCGGGTACACGGTCATCGGCACGCGGATGGGCAGCTTGACGCCCGAGTATACAATCTCCGTGTCAAAGAACCGCCTGTCCTTGTTGCGCGCCGACGCCGCGCGCATGCGGCTTGCCTCCGACACCGTGCCGCGCCGGGCCGCTGCTGCCGCCGACTCGTCGCTGCCTGATGTGCCCAGCTCAGCCAGCCCCAGCTCATGAGCCACGTCCAGCCGCTCCGAGTCCTGCGCCAGCGTGCCCAGCAGTCGCCGCTCGCACTCGAGCTGCACGAACCGCTCCTCAAACATGTTCTGGTCGTCGGAAAACCGCAGAATTGTCGTTTCGTGCCGGCTCAGCTGCGGCATGCACGACAGGTCCATTTGGTTGGCCGACTTGTACAGTTCGGCCAGTGTGTCCTCAGTCGGCGCGCGGTAGTAGTTCTCGAGCGCCAGCATGAGAATTGCCTGGTAGATGTGAATAAACCGGTGTCGCGTGCACACTGCCATTGCCTTGACAATTGCACCGCGCCGCACCTCCTTGTCGTGCTTTGTACGCACCAGGTTGAGCACGTACAGCAACGGCGGCCCGTCCTCCGACACCCGCCCGTTTTCGTCGGGCGCCTTTTGGTTAAGAAAAAACATTGTCCAATCGCTCTCGCGCGCATGCGCTCCGTCGGGCAGCATGAGCTCGGCCAGGTGTCTATGTCAGTGGGCAGAAAAGAAAAGCATGCAAAGGTCCATCAGCCTATTGTGGAACATACTAGGCAAAATTCACGTCTATTGTGCGCTTTTGGGTGTACGTACGAGTCGTCGGCCCCCGTCGGCCGCGGGTACTGGTGCTTCAATATAGCTCCGCGGTCAATATCAAACTCTGCCAGGAGAATGTACTCGACATTCCGCTGCTGCATGTCATCGTCGCGAGCTGCAGCGTCGTCGCCATTGCTGTTGCTGTTCGCCATAAAGCTGTCGTTGGTGTGAAGTGAAGAAGTTCTTTTCCGTAGGTGAAATTCAAGGCTCGAATGAGCAAGAAAAAAAGAGTATAAGGAGGCGCAAAAAATAAAATAAACAAATGCAACCAAATAGAATGGAATTCAAAAACAGCGAAACTGCCGTCAACAAAAGGTCATGCCGCCAGTGAGCCGGCCAGCTTTTGCAGCCAAACCATCAGCGCGTATAAGCACGGCTCGAGCTGCTCTGCATGTTTTTAAACTTAATTGAGCCGGTCGATTTTTCCGCTGTAGATTCGATTTTCGAAGATAAAGCGCTAAAAATCATTGTTTTTTTGCCCAGCTAATTCAGGACTTTTTTATTTCCATTCCATTCTGTGTACAATTACTATACTTTACGCGCATCAATACTCGTGGAATAAACATAATAATAATGTCGGTACATCGGAGCTACGTTCGCAGTTTGTACAAGAAGGCTCTTTACACATCGCTCGACTGGTACCCGAACAGGCTGTACTGGCGCCCGATTGCCCTGCAAATCCGCGCTGAATTCGAGGCTAACCGCGGAGAATCGAGCCCTGTCCGCATTCAGCAGCTTGTGCGCGAGACCGAGGACGCCCTGGAGGAGTACCAGCACCCGTTGCCATACAAATATATGACGGCTCCGGGCGGTACAAAATACGAGCGCAACAGGTGGTTCGAGGACAACATGACACTCTAGAGCGACAGCAGCAGGGGCCCGTTTGCGTCTATGCGCATCCTTTTTTTAATCGTATTGGCAAATTATATATAGAGAAAGTCTTTGAGAAACAACACTATGAGGCTGTGTTAGCGCTGCCTTTACTTTGAGCGAGGCAGCAGCAAGGGCGCTATTTGAAAGAGAAAATGTCAGGATCGGAGATATTACATGCACAATTTACATGCACAATTGGCGCACCAACCAGCAGATGATCAACGTTTCGCACTAGCTGATGTGCTTTTGGGCATGGCACATACAGGCAAGATCGTTGTAGGGGTTACCGAAAACGCAAGTCTTTGCTTAAGATTAAACCGCATCCTGGATGATTGTTTACAACAAAGTTTGGCCGAGAGACAGGGGTTTGAAAAGTAACGCAAGTACTACAAGCGGCGGACAAACCAAAACCACTCACTCGTTAGCTGCTTAATTCTCGATTTCCAATGCAAACAAAAGCAACCCGCGGGAGCCCACCATTTCCTCATGCACAAGAAAATGCCTCTCATTTTCCAAGCCATTCCGTTTACAAAGGAGGGGGGTAATTCCAAGAATTCCGTGGCTGTTGTTGACAAAGACAGCATAGAGTCAGCGGGTGGCAAATATTTTTTATTGTCCATTTTTTTCTGCAATGCATTGTCGCGCCCTAGAAAAAACGCACAAGGCGCTGCTAAAATATTTTCACCAGAATATTTTCAACTTGTTCCTTACTTTTTTTTCAACTAAATTTTCTTTTCTTACATTTTCTTCCCTTACATTTCTCCTTCCACTTTATACCTCGCCGAGGCCAGCGTTATTTCTATTTGTGTTTGCCATTGTTGTAAGAGCCCAGTAGACAATAATGAGCACTATTAACCTTGCCGGTCTTCTAATCTACCGCATTTCGCCCAGAAAGCCAATCGAGTACCTGCTGCTCAATGACTCGTACGAGCACCATCGGCATTGGTACCCGCCTAAGGGTCGGAAAATCGGCGCCGAGGACGAGCTCAAGTAAGTTGGCGCGCACAGCTTTACAGAGCACTTAGAAACATGGCATATACTCGATTCAAAACACCAAAGTATGCACTTTTGCAAGCTCAAGCTCAAATTCAAATATTGTTATTGAAATTTTTTCTTTGTCTTAGGTGCGCGCTGAGAGAGTCTCTTGATCTGATTGGCCTGAGTGCCAGCGATCTTGTCACCGACGAGGCATTCCGCGCCGAGCTCAAGTACGTCGACGGTATCAAGCCCAAGCAGGTTGTCTACTTTTTGGCGCGTATGTCGGTGTCCTCCCGCCAGGGCATGATCCGTTGCGACAGCAGTGGGCTGAAGTACCAGTGGTGCACGCTTGACCAGGCGCTGGAGAGAGTGATGTTCCAAAGCATGCAGAACATCTTGACCCAGGCTGAGGACTACATCGAGGGCCTTCGTGAAGAAATCCTCTTCGACAACTCGCGCCCTCGCTGGCAGACCGTGGGCGGCGACAACAACGTCAGCCGTGTCAACCGGAACAACAGCAACAGCAACAGCAACATCAGCAACAGCAACAGCAACAGCAACAACAACAACCGCCAGTATGAGGGCAAGAATGTCAACCAGGACGACGGCGGTGCTGGCGGATGGCGCACCCAACGTGGAGGCGCTGCTGGAATCGAGGGCAACTTCAAGAAGCTTGCTGTGAGCGATGGACAACGGACTGTCCGTGGATTCAACGATAGGGAGCAGCAGCAGGACCAGCAGAACAAGCAGGACCAGCAGAACCAGCTGCAGAACCAGGGCCAGCAGAGCAGGCCTCAAGACAACCCGCGCTACAAAACCAAGCTCTGCGAGAAGTTTGAGCGCGAGGGCGAATGTCCCTACCACCACAAGTGCGTTTTCGCTCATGGCGAGAGTGAGATGCGTGTTCGCGAAGCCACCCCGACTACTCCCTCGTTTAAGAACGTTTCGGAGGAGAAGCCCCGCGAACGCCCGGCCCAGTCGTCATACCAGCAGCAGCCGCAATACAATCAGCAGCAGCAGCAGCCGCAGCAAATCCAGAGGCCCCAGCAACTCCAGCAGAAGCAGCCGATCCAACAGGGATTCAGAAGCCAGCAGCCGCAGTTTTTCCAGGCACAGTCATTCCAGCAGCAGAGTCCGAGCCAAAACCAGAGCCAGAGCCAGGGCCAGAGCCAGAGCCAGCAGCCACGCACTCCTCAGGGAGCCGCGCCCAAGTTCAATGACAACCCGCTTTACAAGACCAGGCCCTGCCAGCGCTTTGCCGAGCAGGGTGCATGCCCGTATGGCGAAAAGTGCCAGTTCGCCCATGGCGACGTCGAGCTGCGTGTGACCCCTGAACAGCCCGTGCAGGTCAAGTCCCCTCGCGACGTTCAGTACACACCCCGCACCACGAACGATCAGGGCCCCAACGGCTTCAACCGCAACTTTGCCAACCAGTCGCAGACATGGAGGAAGGGTGGCTTTGAGGGTGCCAGCGAGCGCGCACAAATCCCCAATTTCGCTAGAAATGCGTCTTGGTCCAACACCACCAATACTCAAGCGGCTGTTGGCTCGCCCAGCATCAGCAACGAGGGCTCGTTGAACTTCAGGTTTGCCGCAAACGCGCAGTCGCCGACGGCGGCGTCTGGCAGTGATTCCGAATTCAAGGCGCCCCTGGCTGCACCCATCGTCACTCCGGTCCCGCAAAAGATCCCCACTCCTAGCAGCGCAAAGGCTGTCCCTACGGGCACCCCAGTGAAAAGGCAGCAGGAGACGGTTAAGCCGGGCAGTCTGAAGAAGGATGCTAGCGGCGAGAAGCCCTGGATCAAGGTGCTCGAGGTCAACGACCAGGTTCTCCAGCAGATGGGCAGCCCCCTGGCGGATAGCGCGGCCAGCAACGAGACCCCGAAGCAGAAGCAGATCAGCAAGACCATTGAGCTCGAGAATCGTCTGACCAAGGAGCTCATCGAGTCCTTTGCCAGGGCCAGCGTTGGCGACCAAGAGCCCACCCTGCAGGCCGCATTCAAGGAGATCACTCACACAGAGTTCCGCAACAACCTGGGCAAGCAGCAGCTGCTGAACGTGGCCATCTCGGCACTTTTCGCGCCGTGCAAGGCTGTTGGAGTGTCCGAAACTGTATCTCGCAAGTCCGAGTTGCTGTCCAAGATCGTGACCAAGCCCCAGGACCAGGCGCTCATGCTCAACTCCTGGCAGCGTCTGCTCGCGGACGATGAGCACGCTGCGGCGTGGCAGAAAAAGGCCTCAGAGGTTCTGGGTGCGCTCTACAAGGCGTCGCTGCTGGATGAAGATGTCTTCACCGCATGGTTCACCAAGAAGAATAGCGAGGACCGCAGCCCCGCGATTTCTGCCATGGAACCATTCGCAAACTGGCTGGCCACCGCTGAAGAGGAGTAAAAATGTGTGACCTTTTTTCATGTAGACTTTGTAACTTGAGTCAAGGGGATTTAGAGTATATTTCTATCCAATAAAATTTTATTGTGGTTTTTTCTTCTTAAAAGTGAACATTACTCAGTCAAGTGCTGTAAAGTGCGCCAGTGTCTCTTCTAGTCGCCGGTCGATTCGAGATTCGTGTTGGCTCGCTTCGACAAGGGCGCGTCACAGCCTCTTGCATCGTCGCCGTCCTTTTTGTGCCAGGATGATACCCTTTTGCGATGCTTGATGTTGTGCTTGTGCTGTCGCGAGTGCATGTGCTGATTGTACTCGTCGTCGCCATTCAGCCAGACCTCCAGCGCAACGCCGTTGGGCGTCTCCTCGGCGGATTTTGAGCATACACTGCAAAAGTGCCTCTTCCATGCTAGTATCGAGTTGGGCTTCTCCTTGACCTCAGCAAGGAGCCTTGCTGCGGTGTCAGAAACTGCTGCTGCTTCGGGCAACTGCGCGTTGCCAACAAACTTCTGGGCAATAGACAGTCCCTTGTTCATGACCTCTGACTTCCATTGGCCCAGGTCTGTTGCGTCCAGCACAAACGGGTGTGCCCTGGTGGACTTTCCCAGCGTCGACCTGCACTCTGGAATCAACTTGTTGCGAATCCATGTTATCTGCCGCTTGGCATACCTCCTAGTCGACGTCTTCATGTCCTCGATGCCCTTTGCTTTCAGCCGCTCGCACTCCAATTCGGACGTCTTGGAGTCGGTCGCAGCCGCCTTGAGATAAGCCTCAAACTCCCTGAATCCAATGGCCTGCTTGAGCCCTGTGGTGAAATCATCGCTCGATCCGCCGAACGCCCGCGGATCACTCAGGTCCTTGGCAAGCTGGCCAAGCTCGCCGAACATGCCGCGCTCAATCATATCGCCAACCCGGTTATCTAGGCGCTGATTGAGCACGGGGGTGTCTGCGTACAGCCAAAATAGCAGGGTGGGGAATCGCAGTGTTTCCTCCTTTCTGCGCGCTTCCTCGCTATCTGCGACCCATTCGCTGTGCTTTCTTCCTGTGGTGTGCAACACCTCGAGGCTGCGCAGGATCTTTCGGCGGTTGTTGGGGTGCCAGTTCTCGGCCATTATAGGATCAACGGACTTTAGCTCCTCCCACAGCTGCTGATTGCTCTTGTCCACCTGAGACTGCTCGAAGCTGCGGTCATTCGGCTGCACACCAGTGCTACCACCTTGGGGCGATCCCGGTTCTCTGACCAGCGACTTTTGAAACATCACCGACTGTATGTAGTAGTTTGTGCCCCAACCAGGATGGGGATGCGGTTGCGCCCGTGGATCTCGTGGATCTTTTGCAATGCGTCGCGCTCAAACTCTTGCACAGTGTATTCTTTGCTCGAATCGACAAATCCTAGGAGATGGTGCGGGACGCCAAGCATTTCTTCAGCAGTGACTTTGTTGGTGATAATGCCGTAGCCCTTGTAGACCTGCAGGGCATCTGCGTTGATGACCTCGCCGTTGAGCTTGCGGGCCAGCTCTATCGCGAGCTGCGACTTACCGACACCTGTGGTTCCAGTGATCGCGATCAGACCCTTGCGAACCAGCTCCATTGTGTTTATTTATTTTACCTGTCAGTGTGTGTTGCTG